CCCTCCACTCAGCACACATGGCTTCGACATCTTAGATTTAACACCTTGATGCATCACTTCTAAACATAAGTCAGACCTCCACATATCAGTGAGGCCTGGGTGCCTACTGTGTGCTGTAGTCTGAGCTAAAGCATTTGAAAATTACAAAAGTAGACTTTAATTCTTGATACCATTTCCCCCGTTTTCAGGGGATTCAATCCATAGAAATTATGATATCCCACTACAGAGAAATTTAACTATAAACCAATGATAGATATTGGGGAAACCTCAAAAACCTGGAAATGCAATAGCACTATTAGTAAGTAAGGGCTACAGAGATGGCTCACAGTCAAGAGCACTTGCTGCTTTTGCAAAGGGCTGGACTCCAGCTCTCAGCACCCACAAAGAACAGCTCACAACAGCCAATGCCAGGGGATCTTGTGCCCTCTTCTGGCTTCTATGGGTATCAAGTGCATGCATGTACACTTGATATCATTTTTTTAAAGCTAGTAGAATTGGGAGAACTAACAAATGTAAGTACAAAAAAAATGGGTTATGCTTGAATTTCAGGTAAGCTGAGAACACGTCTTTAAATCTATACCCCAGGCAATACTTGGATCATGCTTACCCTAAAATATGAGTTATTCATTTGCAATCAGATGTAACAGGATGTCCTTTATTTTATCTGGCATATTTTCAGGGTGACCTTGAACCACCTGCTTATGGAGAGTTGCAGGCATACATGTGGTACAGTGACCTTTGTCATTGTACTTAGGGCATTTTTGGTATGCTATTAGAATTCACAGAAAGTCAGCAAGCTACCTTTCAGTTTCTTCCTTCAAGAATACAGCCAAGAAGAGAGAAAACTTATGTAAGTCTTCCAAGCAAAAGATCTAGCACGATAAGTACTTCTACGTGGATCTTGAGGGTATTTTTGGTTTGTTTGGTTTTTTGTTTTTTAAGGAATATTGGCCACTCTTGCATATAAATGCAAATTGTTTAGAGTAAACTTAAACACACTCCTGGTCTTTTGTATGATTGAAAAATAGTCATTGGCACCTGAACTTGAACTCTGTCCTTTCTGGATGTTATTGAACAATAGGATCCATTCTTTGGAAATTTACTCCTAAGAGAGACTGTTTTACACTCTGAAGGAAGGTAAGACAGCAGGGTTGATGACACTAGGGAGGTGTTTTCTTGAAGTGTGTGTTCCTGTGTGAGCATGGGTACATGTGTGCCATGACACTCCTGAGAGGTCAGAAGGCTACCTTGGATTTTGGCCTTCCTTGGTTGGTTGAGACAAAGTTTTTGTTCAAGGCAGCCACACCAGGCCAGCTACCCCACCAGCTACCAGACCCTCCTCTTTCTACCTCCCATCTCACTGGAGAACTGTTGGCATTCCGGATACATGCTGCCAAATCAGCATCACATGGGCTCTGGACACTCAAACTCAGGGCCTCAAACTTGAGTTATTTTTCCAGTCCATACAGACAATATTTGATTGATTTTGAATTACTGGCTTGTGTCATTAGAAAAATGAAATTGTAAATGCCTTTGTATCTCCTAGTCCTAGATAGCTAAGCCAGAGGTTCTCAATCTGGCAACATGGAAGAAAAAAGAGAGAGACTTTTTTTAAAGGTTTCTCTGTCTGCTTTTATGTCTGTATTTGTGACTAAGTCAAGGTTTGGAAATAGGATCTGTAAATCCTTCCTGTGCTATTCTAATGAGTAACGAGGGCAATGAACCACAGGACTAAATGCATTTTGCAGAGAAAGGAAAATGAACAACCCTTCTTTTGTCTATCTGAAGTTTTCTTTTAGCCTTTATGAAGTGAATGAGCAAATAAATCCTCTGCAACAACAAATATAGCCAGCTGTTTGCATCCACAGATTCAGCTAATCCCAAGAGTCAGTGATCTTAACAACAACAACATCTGTTCTAAACACATGTAGACATCACTGTCACTATTCCTCGCCCAATTCCATTGTAACAACTGTGTGCACATTATTTGTATTGTATTAAATATAATAAGTGATCTAGAGGTGATTTAAGCTGGGCAGGAGGAGTGAGGGGGTTACATACAAATGCTACACCATTTTATAAAAGGTTTGAGCATTGTGGACTTTTGTAACCTTGGTAGTCCCAGAAGCAATCTCTTGCAGTTACTGAGGGGCAACTGTGCAAACCAACCTTTATACACTGATTTCTGCTGCAATTTATGTGTGAGTAACTTACCATTAACTTTATATGAGTAGAAAAGTTTAGGAAGAGCTCCCTTAAATGTTCAAAATAGGTAGGACCTAGTAATGGGCATTGACCCAGCTGAATTTTGTCCGAGCATCACCAGAAAACGACGCCAACCCAGAACAGAGAATGGTCTCTAAAGGAGCAACCAACTTCTGAGGTCACATTGTTCTGCTCTTGGATTTATGAGTGTCTTCTTGTAAACTGGGTTTTTGATGGAGAATTCCCTGTCTTTATATAAGGTTATTTTTAACAAAGCAAAATTTGTTTCATATTCAAGTCATTCATTTATATAAAATCAACTTAAGTCTTAAAAGAAAAATAAACCTTTTAAAAAACATTGTATCTATTTCTGCTTCAGTATTTGGAAAATACCACTATGTCTATTGAATAGGATGTTTACTCTCATAAGCTGGGGAAGGGAATAATAATGCTCCATTTTAATAATTTGCATGGGAAAAGCAAGAATCCCTGAACTCTGGAATACTTATTTTTTCCTTCGTTGTGGAAGGTGATGTGTTAGTTATTAAGTCCTTCAGTTGAAAACTTCCTGCACTATCAATAGAACAGAGGAATATTAATTTCTTTCTGGCTCAAAGTTGTTCTACCCAGGGCTCCCAGGGAGTGATGTCACCTCTGTGGTCAGTGTGAGCCCACCTGCCACTAATCCTCCCTGCATCCTTCCCCTCTCTCGCTTCCTTTGCCCTGGCTTTGGCCCCACAAAGCTTTTGCTCTGGGACCAATGTAGTGGTCAGAGAATTCCTGGTGCACACATCGAAGCTGCAGAAGGCTCTAATGGTGCCTGCTTGCATAATTCTTTTAACTGCGCCCTTGTATGGAATTGTGAAACGCTTCCAGCAGATCAGACAGAAGACACTATGTAAACGTGAGGTACTTTTTTTTTCTCCACAAGTTATTTATTTGTGTTTACTAGTAACAATTTGAAATGCTGAGCCCATAGAGCAAGGATCTGGTAGTGTTCAGATTTGAGACCTGAGTTGGAGATCAGTGGTTTTCTGTCTATATTACCCAATATTCTAGTATCGCATTACTCTTTCCATCTGGAATAACTTTACATCGAAGGTCTTTGATCCTTTGATATTTAATTATAAGGCGTAGTCTATTTTTTTTAAACTTTCTGTCTAAAACTACAGTTGTTGCCAAGTCTGATGACACAGTATTTAGAACTAGAAATCTTTTTGGATACACTTCTTCTGCTGTGTAAATCAGACTGTCTTTGACCCTCTGGAAATAAAAAACATTTTCTTAGGCAGAAATCAGCAAGTGTTGTGTATTGCTATTAATATTAAGGGACAGGTACTGATTCTGAAACTAATGAGTGACCCTAACAGGTACTGGTGTATCGTGATCTTTGTACATAGCTTCTCTTAACTGTGCCCTGGCTTTCTCCTAGCCACGAAGTGAGCAGGAAGACTGCTGAAGCTTGGAGGGTTTATCTTGTAGTTTGTTAATGTAGTTGTAGAATTTCCTATATTGAGAAATGGGGTAGGGTTTTCGAGTTTATGACTTTCTGGTTCAATTATTTTGAGGAAAATAAAATGGATTCATAAAAGGCCTTTGAAAATTTAAAATCACCTCAAAAAAAATTGACTCTCCTGAACCTAGATGGATGTTATACATTTTTAGATTTACTATAACATCTTTTTCAAGAATCTAGATATGCATTTATGCAGGAACTCATGGCCATTCTTATAAAAAAATTACAGAAAGGACGGTGTCTCAGTATTATTTGAAATCTTCATCTTTTAAAGGGATCTTTTGTTATAGAAGAGGCATAAGTCATTTAGCTACCGATGAGGGTTAAAAGATAGTGGATTTGTTTACACTGAGAGTTGAACATGAGAGTACCTTGCATAAGCGTCCCTTCAAATAGTGTTTAATTCAAGAGGGGTCCCATGGGGCCACACCACCACTACACATAGTATATACCAGTTACATCACGGAGCCACTTTGACATGTGTGACATGGAGGGATTAATAGTCTCTTCCCTCTTTTCTCTGCTGCTGGCTCTTGGGGTTCTCCTTCATTTCATAGTCTTTCTCTTCATTGTTTCTTTTTTTTTTTTTTTGGTAGGGGGTCATTGTAAGGAAGCTATGTCTGCAGGGTCAGGGTCACAGCCCTGTGTCCAGTCTGCCTGATTTCCCACCATTGCTGCTTGAATCATTCTGGCAACCGTTTCTCCTCCCTCTTGCTATCTGCGTTAGATCTTTTCTCTGGATGTTCCTGATTCATCTCAGAGCTTTCCCCGTTGTTAGAAGCATGGCAGATGAGAAGGCTGCCAGGAGTGTGCCTAAAGCACCTCTGACCCGGGAACAGGCTGCAGTAGTCTCTCGAAGCAGTCTAGCAAATACTGTAGCAGTTCAGATCATGACAGTCCTTCAAGGTAAATAAACGGCCGCACTCTTTTATCCAGTTTTCTGACAAAGGACTCTTGGCTGGGATAGCACATGGTACAGTTAACATCTCTTTTGTTCCTTGTGGACTAGTGACCAGCACTCGTCCTTCCCATTGCCCCCCTGTATGTGGTAGCAGGAAGGAGGGAAGGAACGATGGCAGGTTATTGTCAGTACTGGCTGAAGGAGGCAGGGTCTTCCATTCTGCTTTCATCTCTTTGCCCTTAACCACTAACAAGCTTTGTTTGTTCATTCCTAGTGTATGCTTGTGCCTGTTTGTTACCACCGGGGGATGTTCGCTAGCACCTGCCTGGGGTGTGAAGGTTAATGTCCGTTCTTCTATTTTCTGATTCTGAACTTCAGGAGAAGGTAAAGCTTGATGCTGAGAGGGAAAAGCTAGAGAGGCTTCAGGAGCTTTACTCCGAGCAGAAGACCCAGCTGGACAATTGTCCTGAGTCCATGAGGGAGCAGTTACAGCAACAACTCAAGAGGGTCAGTAGCAAACAGGAATCGCCGCTTGTTTGGTTTTTTTGTTTGTTTGTTTGTTTGTTTGTTTTGCTACTAAGTTCTGCTTATCTGTGACTTACCACTTCTCATTTGCCCAAGTTCTAGTTTTTAGATCCTTAAAAATAGATATATGCATGCTGACAGTGTGCATGGTTCAATGTCAATCCGTTGAAAAATTCCTTGTTAGACTTCTCTAATTTATAATGCAAAAATGTTTCTGGGGACTTTCTTGGTAACTAAGGAGAAATTGTTCCTGACTTGTAATTGTCGCCAAGATTGTAGCATTTAAGTCAACTGACATCTTCCTCTACTGGATTGTGAGTACTGTTTGTCCTTGAATGTCTTTCTTCTTAGCTTGATTTTATACTCTTATTTGAAAATTACCCTATGCTGTTTGTACCCCCATCTTGACATTTTTCTTGCTGCTGTTTAGAGACATTGAGCTTTTAGCATGATGACAACAGTCAAAAACCCAGATCAAAGATGCAGAGTATTACATATACATTTGACATCTTCTCACATAGGCACCTTAATTTTTAAAAGGGTCCTGGAGCATGGTCCTGCTAGTTGAATGTTACCAGCTCACTCTCCCATTCCTAATGCTGGCAGAGTTTAATAGAACTTGCTGGTTTCTTTATGGAAAGAGAGTTAGTAAGTGGATAACCTCACAAGCACTGGCACAGCCACGTATGATTTCAGAGTGTCTTGACAACTGGGTCATCTCTGAAGCAGCAGCCCAAATCAGCAGTGATCCCTGGAAGTAGGCATTAGCAGTCTTGCACCTCCCAAGGAATCACAGGAATAGTAATTAGTCTTAAGTAACAATTTATGATTTCACATGAGTTATCTGATTCTTTAGGATCACTTATAAATCTATATATCTCTAGGAATCATGACTCAAAGGAAGGAAGGAAATGATATAAACAGTGGTTCCATCAACTAAAAATAAATAAATAAACAAACATACTCCTTCATCCTCTCCAAACAGAAGGAAAATATCTGACCATATGCTCTTGCCTTAACTTGTAGTAACATCTGCTCCCCTCATAGTAAGGAACCTCATAATTCAGTTGTGGAGGCTTTGTGTCTGTATAACTCTTCACTGTAAGATTAAGGTCTCTTTATTCCAGAAGACACCAAGGTAAAACACAGGCCAGAGCTAGGTTATAGCACCCAGCCAGCGCGGCCAGAACAAAAAGGGCCCGCGTCCCCACGTGCAGCCCCTTAAGAAGCTCCCTTATGTCACCCCGGCTTTCCTTCACCACACCCCTCTGGGCGAGTCCCGGGGTCCATCTGGTACCTGCCCCAGGACTATTGGGCGGGGCTAGGGTGACTCCCTACACTTCACTAGTTTCTTGACTTAACCAATAGGAACTTTCCCCTCCTACAGGAAGTTCATTCCATATTAGCACCTCCTGTGTTGTCACTTCAGCCTGCAAAAGCTTCCCAGAAGCATAAAAACTAGAGCCAAGAGTCTATTTTTCTGACAGCTAGTTCCACTAGATGGCAGGCTGCATGAAATAAAAAGTAATAATTAAGAGGATAAGTAAAATCATTTTCTTAAGCTGTGTGTTGCCTTGAAAACCCCAGCTGAAGTGTCTTGTGCCCTTATGACATCTTACCAATGAATCACCTCATCGAGTCAGAACAAACATGACGACATATGGCTCCCGGCTGCTGTTTAGTTCGGAAAGACTTGCCAATCCTGGGCTGCTATCGGTGCCGAGGAGAAAGCTGAGATTAAGGGTTCCTTTTATTTGTCAGGATAGTTTCTGTTGTTAAAGTGGATGAGGCAGAAACCTGGCTGGTGTGGTATTCTAAAGTTGTTTATAGTAACCATTCCTCGAGATCAGGGCCTTTTGGGGTGGTTGTGACCCTTTTAGGGGTCACACATCAGATATCCTGCGTATCAGATATTCACATTATGATTCATAACAGTAACAAAATTACAGTTGTGAAGTAGCAATGAAACAATTTATGGTTGGGGGGGTCATCACAACACGAGGAACGGTATTAAAGGGTTGCAGCATTTGGAAGATGGAGAACCACCTGTTAGATTGTTGGTTTTGGTTTTTTGATTTTAAAAATTCTGTGTTCGACACCTGTAACTGGGAGTCCCCTTTTCCATCACTGGCTCTAAATTTTTTCCCACGGTCTCAGAAAAGTTATACAGCTCCTGTTGTCCTCACTGTCCTTAAAGTCAGCATGCTTACCTCTGTCCATATCACAAAAGCATGAGGACTGTTTGACTCCACCGCATGATGTGAGGAGAAGTTTACACACCCTGTGCCCCATCTCAGTTTGTCTCCAGACTCGGCCTTAATCCATTATGAGATTATTTCTACAGCCACACTCAGCCGTACACATCTGCTCTTCTCGTTTTGTTCCTTTGTTGGACAGTGAAAACCTAAAGATCTGCTTGTAAATGTCTTCCTTAAAAACTCTCAAAAAAAGAGAAAAAGTTATTCCACACACACACACACACACACAAAAAAAAAAAAAAAAAAAAAAAAAAAAAAAAAAAAGAACGGCACCAAATTTTTCTTGATGCAACTGTTGTGTTTCTTCCGCTGCCCTTTCACCTGCCAGCCGGTAGAGGGATGTGATCATGTGTCAAGTGCTGTCCTTTCAGTGAGTGAAAGTTTTGTCCCGCTTTTCATTCAGCTGCGCACGTACTTGACCGAGAGCTGCCTGAGTCCGTTATCCTGTCTCAAACTCCATTCCCAAATTCTCATTTTTAAAGGCTTGACCCCTTCCCCACAGCTTTCCTTTCAGTGTTTATATGCACTAAGTTGCCCGAGAAGATGGTTACACTCACAGAACCTGGGTGCTGAGCTTAGCGGAGTTTGCAGCTTTTCTACCCCGCGCCCTATTATTTTCATTCAGTAGTTTAAATATTCGGTAAAAATTAATGGGTGACTCTGTTGCTGTCTTTCAGGGCTAAAGTGACACATGCTGTATTGTTACCACATGTGGAGTAAGCAGCTGGCTAGTACAGTGTACACTATGAGCCATATGCACACTTTAAAGATGGTTCAGAAGCCAGCAAGGGGACTTTACATTTTTCTTTTTAAGCACCTTAAACCCCAAATTGAGCTTAATTAGAAGAGCTTGAAAACCTAATTATATGTGCTTGTATGAATAAATATGTCATCTAGTACATTATTTCAAGACTGCAGATGTTTTGTTTGAGATACAACATTTTAATTCTCTCTTAATTAATTCCTATAATTAAACAATTCTAATAAGCTGAAATGTTAATCAAAGTCTAGACATGGAGATACTGAGATACCCTTGGAAAACCAATGAGTGTGTCTATGTATTCAAATCCTCTTAAAATGTCTTCATAGTTCTTAAAATTTGGCCTAGACAAATTTAGTATCAATCTCCCCCTAACAGTCAACACACATACACACACCTTCTGCCGGAGAGAGAGTCTCACAACTCAAGATCCTTCTGCCTCAACTTCCTGAGTGCTGGGATTGTAGACATGTGCTACCACACCCATATTTGAATGTTTTTCAAATTGTGTTTTCCCTACTCTCTGCTTCCTAAAATCCAGTGTGCATCAGCATAATAACCTTGTTGGTGTGGTGTTGTCTGTAATTTCATGGCAACCAATAGACTTTCTGTGACTCATCTCTAGAATATAATTTATTGCAGAGACAGAAGGATTCCATTTGAATAAAAAAATCGTACTTTATCAGTAAGTAAAACCCAGAGGAGGAGAAGTTAGATAGTGATATAGGACTTATCAAATTATTATTTTAAACTCTCTTTGATGATTTAATTGAACAGCAGCAGCAGCAAGAAATGCCCCAAGTGTCTTGGCTCCACAGAGCTGTTAGCCACATTGTCTAACTGCCTCTGACCAAATATTTTATGTTATAATTTAAAAAATATGCTACATGGACCACATTTGTAATTCTGTTAGTGGCTCCAAAAGTAAAGAAGTATTTTTTAATGGACTCAAGAATAATTTGTACAGTGTGTTCCAACCCCAGTGCAAAAGCAGTGAGTGAATACATTCCTGTTTTCAAGAACATTCGTAGGTTGAAGAGCACCTAGTCATTTTCATCATCTTTGGGTTTCCATAACTGCCTTCAAGATTATCCATGGGATAATGGTGCCTAACTTTTTGAATCTGTGTCTTAGTTAGGGTTACTATTCCTGTGATCAAACGCCATGACCAAAGCAACTTGGGGGAGGAAAGGGTTTATTTGATTTATATGTCACAAGTCACAGTCCACTGAGGGAAGCCAAGACAAGGACTCAAACAAGGCAAGAGTCTGGAGTTAGGAGCTGATGCACACACAGGTCTTGGAGGAGTGCTGCTTACTGGACTGCTGCTCCTCATGGCTTGCTCAGCTTGCTTTCTTATAGAATGAAGAACCACAAGCCCGGGGGCGGGGGTGTTCCCTTTCCTATCAATCACTAATTAAGAAGATGTCCTACAGGCCTGCCTACAACTCAGTCTTAGGGAGGCATTTTTCTTAGTTGAAGTTCTTCCTCTGTCCTGATTCCGACTTGTGTCATGTTGACATAAGCCAGCTGCCACACAGTCTCCCTGATGAGAGCTTTGGTTCTACTCTTTCCAACAAAGAGATATGTGCACAATTGTAATGAATCCATGAAGATTCAGTGAAAAAAATCTTTTTCTCCAGATGCTTTGGTTTTTCGAGACAGGATTTCTCTATGTAGTTTTGGAGCCTATCCTGGCACTCACTCTGGAGACCAGGCTGACCTCGAACTCACAGAGATCCTCCTGCCTCTGCCTCCAGAGTGCTGGGATTAAAGGCATGTGCCACCAATGCCCGGCTCCAAATACCTTTTTTAAAAAGATGTATTTTTTAAAAATTAAATGTTTGCTTATCCATGTCTCTCTGTAGATATGTGCATGTGAGTACAGGTACACTCAGATGCCAAAAGAGGGTGTTAGATCCCTCTGAAGCTGGCATTGCAGGCAGTCAGGAGCTGCCTAGCATGGGTGCTGGGAATCAAACTCAGGTCCGCTGGAAGTGTAATGTGTGCTCTTAACTGCTGAGCCATCTCTCCAGCCCTCCAAATGAGATTTTAGGGAGTTGTGTGCTCCCAGCAAAACCGAGGAGAACAATCAGAGGCTTCCCACATTCCTTCCTGTGCCTTCCCTCATACAAGCATAGGCTTCATTATTAATCTTTCTCTCCAAACTACTGTATTCTCAACAGAGTTCAAGTTCAGGTACTGCTGATTGCTCCTTTCAGTCCAATTTCTTAAGCATGTAACCCTTCTCTATACTATATAGTCAATAACATAATAATACATAGTAAACATTTATTGCATGGCTGCTCAATATTTATATATTTTAACTTACCTATATATACTTGTCTACTTGTGTGTACATTAGAAAACAATTGTTAAGAAAGTCGGCTGGGTTTGACAGCACATGCCTGTAATCCTAGCACTCAGGAAGTTGAGGGAGCCTGGTGACCTGGAGCTATATGGAGAGACCCTATCCAGAGAGAGGGAGAGGCAAAGCAAGGAAAGAAAACAAAGAGAGAAGAGATAAGAAGAAACAAAGTTGAGAAGAAAAATAAACACTAAATCTAAAGAGGTTTACCAGTTTCTCCTTGTACCCCAGTGAATTACCTTACCACATTGGGGGTATGAATATCCCCTTTAGAGACCTCTTATCTACTTCTGGACTAATTTGTGGGCCATTTTAATCCGTTATCATTTCTAATTCATATGAAAACTAGGGGAAACAATTTTCCTTAAGAGAGTGGTCTGCAAATAACATTTAGTTGTTTTTAGAAATCTTTTTATACTTCACTGTCCATTTCAAATCTGTCTTGCAAACACAGAAAAACAACTGTTGGTGAAGTAAAAACTGCCCTCTGCACCATACTGCCATCATTCCCCCTTAACAGCCACCTCTGGGCTTACCTCCATCACCTTGTTCTAGCCCCACATGGTGTTGTAACCAGATATCTATATTGGAATGAGGACTTTTCATTGTTGTTTCTTCATGTCGGGAAGGCTGCAGCCACTCTGGCGTGCTTCATTTTCATTCCATTTTCTCCAAAGGATGCTGACCTGTTGGATGTCGAGAGCAAACACTTTGAAGACTTGGAATTCCAGCAGCTTGAGCACGAGAGCCGTCTTGATGAGGAAAAGGAGAACTTGACTCAACAGCTCCTGAGGGAGGTGGCGGAGTATCAACGGAACATTGTCGCTAGGAAGGTAATTCGCTCAGTGATGCTTGAAGTGAAAAAATGAAGATTTACTGTTAACTGTGTTACAGTAATCACAGTCATTCACATAGCTGTGGACTCTGTCTCTATAGCTGAGCAGCCCTCTGTGTTAACCACATTTGCAACAAATGTTGCTCTGTTCTATATAAACTGAGACATGTTAAAGTCACTGTAGTAATGTTATAGAGTTATTTATGGATAATACAGCCCCCTTTTTTTACTTGCATAAAAACTCACATAATCAGCTATTTGTTTCAAGTCTTTCCCTCTGGCAGTTGTAATAACTAGAGTTAGAATAATTCTGTGAACAAAATCTATTTTGGAATTTTCTCTTTCCATTGATTAATAACCTCCAATGCTAACTGGGAGCCTGTTACCATTAACAATATACCAGTAGAAAATCATTCTGATTACTGTGGACTCAGCCCCCAGCATCTAGATGGCTCTCTCAGAATTTAGCATTTATCCCAGAATTTATAAGCATACCCTACAACATTTTACTAATTTGGTAAAATTGAAGGATAAAGTTGATGGAGAGAATGAAGGACAAAGAACGTGACTTCTGATTTGATGGAGAAATTCTTTTGGTATTTTGCTAGCATGTTAAAAAAATCAACAATGGTCTAAAACAAGATTTTCTATTGAATTCTGGATTTTTGAGAATAATCTGTCAAGTCATGTGACTTACAGCATGTAGCTTACATGTAAGTTGAGAAGTGTCGAGCTTGTTCAGTGAAGGTCAGTGCTTCTTAGCCTTAGATGATCATGGTGGTCCACTGGCAACTAAAATGTGGGCAGTGTTATTTAGGCTCCAAAGCCCTTTTTCTTCTTTGCCCAGACAAACTGGCAGACCTTTGATTGTCTCATGTGCATCTTTCCATGATTACTTTTGTCTCCCAGGAAAAAATTTCTGCATTGAAAAAGCAAGCCAGTCACATTGTTCAGCAGGCTCAGAGGGAACAAGACCACTTCGTGAAAGAAAAGAACAATCTAATAACGATGCTCCAAAGAGTGAGTACTTCCTGTTCTGCAGTGGTGACGGCGAAAGCACTGCTTCCGACTGGGGGACGGCTGCCTCTTCTGATGTCATGCCTTTATACTCTGAGAAAGAAAGCCGTTTGTTTTCACGTGCTATGTCATCTTCCCCATTGGTAACAATACTCTCTGATCATTACCCACAACTCAGACAGTAAGCAAGAAGATTTTCATCATGTCCTCTCATGACTCAGAAAAACTATGGCATGTCTGTACTTTCTCTTATTCCCTTAAAAAAAAAAATCACACTTTTCATCAAGTAGTTAAAAGTAGTCTAATAATAATTTGTGGTAGATTTAAGGGGAAATGCTCTTTATACTGCCTTTGAAAACTTTGGCTCAGGTCCTCTAGTGTTTCCAACTGCAATTATGTGTGTGTGGGGTCTTCCTCATTAATGTCTCATTGAAGTTAGTTTGACTTAGCTGAATCTGGAAGTACTCCGTATGGCTTGGTTAGAAGAGCACCAGCATCCTATCCTCCCTTGGGCCTATGTCCTTATCTGTCCCCGTAAAGTGACTCATAAAAAGGATTCCTAGGATGACGAAGACAATGAAACAAACAAACAAACAAACAAAAAAGCTGTAGCCACAATTTGGACATGACCCCTGATATAATTTCAGGACTAAGACACCAAACACTAAAGCTGATGGGGTTTCAGGTCAGAGTCACAACCTGGGGACATGATATTGGGGTAGTGGAAATATGTGATGACCCCACAGCAGAGAGCAGGAGGAGAATAGAGTCCAGAATGAGGTGGACCATGATACCCACCAACAAGAAATGTGCAATCCCTTCTCAGTCACTTCTGCTTATGAAAGAAGAGACGGGTCCTTGGTCCACATGAGGGGCCTCTGCATCCCACATACATCCTGGCAGCTTCTTCCTGCTCTGTTGGACTTCCAGAAACCCTTGAGTGGAGCTGTAGTCCCCGCCCCTGCCCTGCTCTGTAGGACAGACTCCGTTGCCACTCAGCCTCCTGTAACCATTTTCCACAATATTCAGAATCACAGCTCAAATTGCACACTATCATGTATGCTTAAGTGGCTGTTGAAATTTTAAGGGGAAAACAAAAACAAAAATCTCTAAATGGTAGATTTTTATTAACAAATAAGCAAACAGGGTCACAGATAACAGATTTCCTCATTAAAATAGATAAAATTCAATTTGATTATTGAAATCGAAATAAGTGGTGTTTTGTTTTCCCCATAACTGATCTATAGGTACCTTTCAATCTCAATCAGCATTCCAGCAAACCATTTTTTTTTTTGTTGTTGTTGTTGTTGTTTTGTTTTGTTTTGTTTTTTGGTGTTGTTTTTGTTTGTTTGTTTCTTTGTTTTGTGGAAATGGGAGACAAGTTTGGGTTAAAATTTCAAGCTGATTTTCCTTACTACGAAATCCACATTTGTGGTTTGGCCTTCTTGCTAAAATGTACTTGAAGCACTTTCACGGTCATCCACTGACATATTCAAGACAGTAAACACATTGATTCAGCCCAATATGCACATTCCCAGTTGAACTTAGAAGCATCCTACCATCTCAATTCAACTCTCAACTCAGCAAGTATTGTTGTTATTGTTTAGTGCCATGTGGTCTTGCGTGCGTGTGTGTGTGTGTGTGTGTGTGTGTGTGTGTGTGTGTGTGTGTTGTTGGTGACTTTACTGTTGAAAGGGCTCCCAAATGGTGCTAAAATATTGTCAAGCACCCCCAAGTGCAGAAGGCTATGGTGTATCTGTGTGTCCCATATGCTTTGTTCTTACACAAATGTTAAAATGTTGTGGGTTGTCAGGGAAATGTGAATGAAACAAGAATGCGTCACTCAAGGTGTTTCAAACAGTAACATTCACAAAACCCAGCTGTGATTTGAGAAATTGATGAAAATGTTTCTGGCAAACAAGAGTGGTGTACACTTGTAATCTTAGCATTTGGAAGCCTAAAGCAGGATGAATGTAAATTCAAGGCTAGCCTGGACTATATACAGAGACGTACCTACACTGCCATATCCTGCCTCAAAAATAACTTTAAAAGAGGACAGTGAGATGGCTGAGCTGGTGCAGTCACTAGCCAAGCAAGCCTGGTGACCTGAGTTCAATCCCTGGAGGCCATATAGAGGTAGGGAGAAGAGAGTGGGCACCGCAAAGCTGTCTTCAACCTCAATCCCTCCACTACAGCATGTACACTCATGCCTCCACGCATACATGCAAAACAATATTACTTTTATTAAAAGTAGGAAAGGAGACAGGGAGGAAGAGATTGAGGATAGTATGAAAACATCAGTGTGACTCAACTTCTCATCACCCAAAATGAATCCAGTCATTATAATGAACAGGGAAAAATTCAAATGTCAGTGAGACTATGACCAGCTAAAGCAGCCACATCTTGGTGGCATGAGTGTGACGTACACACCACCTTCGGAGAACTCCCTCAAAGTTTATTTTATAGCTTTAAATGTGTAGCCTCCTTGGACCCAGCAATCCCAATAGATACTTACACAGGAGAAATGAAAATATTTTTTTATAAAAGATGTGTACAAAACTGCTTGAAATAGTGTTTGCATAATAACCCCCATCAGACACAAGCTAAATAACCATCAAGAGAAACATAAATTACCAAAATATGTGTATAAGAAAGTAGTCTTTGTCAGTATGAAATAGGGGTTACTATCTCTGCTCTAGCACTGTGGGTCAAGGTCAATACAGGAGTGTGCATATTGAATGACTCCATTTATATCATGTTGGAGAAGAAGGAAAACAATGCAAAGCCAAGAAAATCGGCACAGTGCTTGGCTGTTGGGCTTGGGCTCGAATGGAAGGAGCCATAAACATTTCTAGGGGGATAGAATTGTTTTTTGTTTTTTTGTTTTTATCTTGGTTGCCGTGCTCTTCTGCTATTTGTTAAAAACCATCAGTAATATACCTGATGTCTTTGGGTCTTATTGTTATGTAAATTATACCATGGTAAATAATATATCCCATAAATATTTTCTTGGAGGTTAACCAGCTGATTAACTCAAGATGGATTGTAGGCCTAAACATTTAAAAAAAATGAGTGCTATGAAGTTTTCAGAAGAAATGTACCAATGGATTATGAGATTATATCACCAGAGGCCACATGAGTGTGTGCTACTTAGGAGAATAAAAATTTGAGTGTAGGAAATACTCCAAGGTGAAGGCTGAGATGGCCCTGAGCTACTGAGCCCTCCTTCCATTTTGTTGTTGTTTGTTTTCAGATAGAGTCTCATGTAGCCCATGCTGGCATCTAACTTGCTATATAGCTGAGGCTGACCTTGAACTCCTGACCTTCCTGCCTTCACACCCCAAGTGCTACGATTACAGGATGGTACCACCAAACCTTTCTCCTCTTGCCATTTTCTGCCTCAATGAAAACACCCTGTCTTTTCCTTAAGACTACTGTCACTTGGTAAAATTCATCTTGAATGATGGGTTACCTAACTAAGTATTTTGGGAAATTGTGCATGCATCATTTCAGCTAATAGTAGGCGAGACAGCTGTAATGGCAAGCCTTTACTGAGGATGAGGGAAGGAAATAGAAATGGGAGTATCTGGGATTTTGATGTTTGTCTCCAGCATAATAGATTTTGTATGCCTTTAGGAAAAGGAGAATCTTTGTCATTTGGAAAAGAAGTACTCCAGCCTCACTGGGGGGAAAGGATTTCCTATTAACCCCAATACTCTGAAAGAGGTAAGCCACACTTTTATAAGCCCACTCATGTCAACTTGGAAATCAGATAAACCTCAGATTTGTGTAAGTCAACTAATAAAAACTTTAGCTTACTTAAATGGCTTGGGGAAACTCGTAAGTAATGCTTGATAAGTTTCTTGCCATTCTTTATTTAGCTTCAAGGAGTCTAGCGGCCATCTTTGTGTGTGTGCACGTTTGTGTGTGTGTATCAAGACACATCTCCTTATCTTGACAGTGACCGTGGGAGGTACCTTGAATCTTGCATTCTCCTCTCTCTCCTTTCTTCATCCTTTCTTCCTCTTTTCTCTTTTCTTCTTTGTCTCATGAGTCTTATAGAATATGAAAATCCCTCAAGTATGAGAAGGTGATCAGGTGTTTGTTTGTTTTGTTGTTGTTGTTTTTTGTTTGTTTGTTTTTGGTCTTACTTTTCCCTCCACTTTGGGAGCCCCTGTTTTCGTTAGCTATACATACTCTTTTAACCATCACCCTCTCATCCCCAATATCACTCTTGCCCAAATATTCTTTCCCAGAGCTGCACTATTTTGACTCTGCTGTGGAAGGGTATGATGCCAATGATAAAACAACTTTCTGTATATTGAGTTATAAGCTAAGGAAAAGGGTTGTTGCCACCTAAAAATTGGCCTAACCAAAAGAATGCTTTTACTTACAAGAAAGCAGAGTGAGGAATGCATAGCTTGTGTGTGTGTGTGTGTGTGTGTGTGTGTGTGTGTGTGTGTGTGTGTGTGTGTTCATGCTTATTCATGCATGTGCAGGTATATGAAATAAAGTGTTTATCACAATAGTGTGACCAAGAGTGTATTTAAAAGTATTTCTCTAGCAACCTTGCTAGGTCATAGCATTTCATAGTTTTCATTATTGGGAACATGTAATTGGTGAGGTCAATGAGGTGAATATGGTTGTGAATGAAACTTACAGGCATATGGTAAGATCAGTGAGATGTGAGGTAGGCCTTGTGAGCTGTCTTAATGGAACACAGCTTGCATATGTGTTCTGGGAAGCCGCTAAATGGTTTTAAGTAGAGAGACGACATTATTTGATACCCATTTATAAAGATCACCCTGAGCCATTCAGAAAACACTGGGTCAGAAATGGCTACAGTAGTGCAGGATAGAACTTAGATTCCAGCAATGTCAGTGAGATGGAAAGTTGGTTGGATTTATATGTGTTTTGCAAATAGAATTGAAAGTTCCTGCTGATTCATTGGATTTTAAGGTGAGATAACAAAGGAATGTTGAAGAACAATGCATGTTCCCAGTTTCTGGGTGAGGTGAATGGCTAATGCTTCTTGCTCAGGTATCTGTAGATGAGGGCAAAATAGGTTATAGGAAAACTTGGAGGTTGATTCTGAGCACACTTAGGAGGGAGGACTATGGTGGCAAATGGATTACATGAGCCTTGGGTCCATTCTGTCTGCCCCTAGATAGGCTAAAATCTCTCCTGTCCTATTGATGAGTTGGTCTTTGCTTTTTCTGAAAACTCCTGGGTGTCAAAAGGTCTATTGACTTTTTGGCTATTTTTGTGTGTCTCTACCATATCTGTCGAGTATCTGCATGTTCTTGGCATGTAGGATGTTTTGATCTTCAGGTTTCCAATCTTTTTACCGTCACCTTCCTCTTCTTTCATTTCTCCCCAGCCTCCTTCTGAAGAATGATCAATTTGCCACAGTCTTGATAGATCACCTACATCTGACAAAGAGAGAGCTCTTTGAAGCAATTAGACTGTATGATCTAAGACTCATAAAAGGGAATTTTTCATAGCCTGACTTTAAAGCTTTTCTATTAACCAAGCAAAAGAATAACTCCAGGATTTTAATTGCCTTTCTGATCCATTACCACAGATAAAATGAAACTGGACAGCCAAATTTATCCCTTCCTTCCTTTAGTCGAAGCACATAAAATATCATCTAGTACCTGTGTCCCTCTCTGCTCAGCAGGACTTTAGGACATTGGTTGATAATAGTCAGCTCTGACTTTCCCTGTTTTGCTGTAATGAGGGGTTGTCCACAAAGACCTTTCAGTTTCCAGGCTAGAGTTCTTGCTGCACAGAGTCACTTGTTGAAAATCTCAATAGTGTCTCCATCATTAATGGTCTAAAAATGGAATCCCAAGGTCAAATTGAACCCACTTTCACTTTCAGAGAACTGTTATTTTATATGCTTTATCCTTTTTTTTCAGATGTTTCATTGGTGTGGCAAAAACCTTGATTGACTTGTGTAATTACTTCCCACGAGAATCATGCTAAGTGCCTTTTCCACAAAGATACTTTAGGAGTTTTGATTGGGAGATTTTGATTCATGGGCATTTTCTTTAAGCTACAGACTGAATTGGATCACTGAGTTCAAAGTAACTGGAACTTCTCTGTCCTAGAAACAGAGTTTGAGTTGGAGAAATTGCTTTGAGTGGTAGCAACACTCAGTGGTAGACTTCACTTTGCCCAAGGTCTGTATACACACACACACACACACACACACACACACACACAAATATAAAGAGTATCCTTCTCATTCTTTCTGGGCTGAAATATCCAAAATGAAATACCACTAAAGGTAAGTTTCTATTTTTATAAACGTTTTCTTGATGCAAATCCCAGTAGCCCATCAATCCACTTATTCTGACATTGTAATTTCCAAAAGACAGAAAAGGGAAGCCATGCATCTTTGTGGAAAAGACTCGTGAATCAAGAGAGTGAGTGATTACATTGTCTATTGTGTATCTGATTGTTCAGTATATGTGTGGAGATAATGCCATTCCATTGACAGAATGATGCTGAGACCTCTGGATATTTATCATATGGTCATCTTGATTTCACCAGAAATTATGGTTAATACTTTGAATGACATTTTTCAATATTGAGCACTGCAAATCCATTTTCATTGCTGATCATTCACTTCATGAGACATTGGGTAGTGCCCAGGTACCTGACTGTGATGCGCTCAGCTAACTCATTGTACCGGGAACATTAATACTCTCGCATGCCTCAGCTTTTGCTTTCTTTGTGTTTAACTTCTCAATTCCTCCTTTTAGGGCTATATCAATGTAAATGAGATTAATGAGTCATGTGACAATTCCACGAATCTATCCCCTTCCACTCAGTTCCCTGCTGACGCTGATGCTGCTGTCACTGAGCCTGCCTTGGCTGTGCCGGTGAGCCAGCCCCAGAGTTCAGAGGTGTGTGGGCATGCGTTTCATTCTTTCATTCATTCATTCATTCACTGCTTTTTCTCATGTCAGAAATTAACCCACAGTTCACTGAAAATAAGCAAAATGAATGTGTGCCAGAACAATGCTGAGTTTATGAATTAGACCATATGGGGGGTAGGGGCATTGTTCTACACTAAAAATGTTAGGAATCATGAAATGGTGTGCTAATAGTTGAGGGCTAGACATACCTGCCAACAAATAAGGTCAATGTCTTAGCATTCTAACCAAACTTGATTTTCTTAGATTCAAACTCTTTGGTTTGAATCAACTTTCTCAGATGGGTTTTCTTGTCTATTTTGCTTGGCAATATTGAATCATGCTTTCATTGTTATGCTTTCTTAAGCATAACATTTAATGATAAGCATTCTTGGGAGTGGCCAGTGAAGTGAAGTGTAAATGCCTTCTACTGATCACACTGCCTGCTGTGTGGAATTTTTACAAGAGGCTAAAGGGAAAGATTGTGCCCATCCATCATTTGCCATTTTGTAATGAATGTGCAATCAGTCTGCACAACCAGATTGTGGGTTTCATGCCTGTCTCATTCGTCCTCTCATCTCAAGCTGGTCTGTGTGTACCTTTTCTTTCTCCTCTAAAGCAAACATCAGCTGTCTCTTCTGGATTTATGTTTCCTTCCACCCTTTCTCTTCATCCTGTCACTCAGCCTTCATCAGCCCCTTGGCCTGAAGTCATGGCTACATCTGTCGACCCTTTCCCTTTAAATGACACACCTCCTCCTCTACCAGCTAAGAAACACAGAAGGCAACAGCAGCTGGAGCAACAGGTAACTAGAAAGGTGGCCAGAGCATGGGGATTTTACCTTGATAACAAGATCACTGATGTGGGGTCTTTGTCTTTTCCAAAGTTGATTTTTTTGAAAGGCAAGCTGCAGAGTATTTTTTTCTTTCTTATTTTCTTCTTAAGGATATTTAGTGTGAGCTAAGGATGCCGGAGCTATTAAAGCTTTGATATGTTTCATATCGGCTTGCTTTTCAGCTCCCATTCAACAAGATAGTGTGGCTTGTCTCACATCTTTCTCAATATACTGACAAGTATTTCCATAAAATTCATAGCATCAAAAGTTATGACAACACAACTTTTTTATTATTTTCTATTAAAGCCATAATAGTAGATGTCATTCCAGTGCTGTGTCCATATTTGCTAAGCGTGACAACACAACATTTTTATTATATGCTATTGAAGCCATAATAGTAGATGTCATTCCAGTGCTGTGTCCATATTTGCTAAGCACTTTACAACTCTCCCTCCATCCTTTTACTGATCCCGTAGAAGAAGATTTATGTCCATCTGAGACTTGGTACCTTTGTAAAAGGCCTGTGTCTCCTGCTACTGTCATTGTACTGATATAAAATGGAACCGAAGAAAAAATTGAGTCAAGTAACTGATGAACTTGGAGAATGAAGGCATTAAATACCTTTCATTTTAATGTGATGTTATCTCATCAGCAGCTTCATTCAGGACAGACAACACTTTGAGTGTTGAAGTTTTATTATGGTGTGTGGGTAGCCTGGCCACAGATTCCAACTCTGCCTTCTAGTCTCAGGACTTCAGTCAAGGTTACTGAATGTCTCTGCACCCCAGATTCCTCACTTAGGAAATAGAGACAGAACTGATACAAGAGCCAAATGAGATCGTGAATGTGGAGCATCAAACCCGGCCCATAGGAAGCTCCGAATAAATACTAGCTACTAGAAATATATCATCTTAAAGTTAAAATGCAAACATTAATGTCACTGGCATGTATTAGCTTTTATGTAGTTCAAAAGCGCAAGATTAACACTAAAATGATCTAACCAAAGGATACTTTATTATGAAGTCATTTTATTACCCAAGATATTTTGAGGAGTATAGAAAGGTCAAGCAAAATTTGGATATTTTAAGATGCTAAAAATCTTGCCTTAGAAATCTGATTGGGAAGAAAGGAAGGAAGGAAGGGAGGAAGGAAGGAAGGAAAGAAGAAAGGAAATAAGGAAAGAAGGAGTAGTCTATTGGAGCATTTAAATATGAGAGATTACTATGTGATCTCCTTGACTGTGGGGAGCCACAGCCCCAAGATGGTGCCTGGCTGGATGCCAGGGAGACCGAGCTTAGCTGTAAACAAGCTTTATTTGGAAGCTCTTAGTGGATCTGGTGTGCCTCCTCCAGCTGTGACCTATCCAGGATCGCCAGGTGGCATGAGCTAATTGGGTAATGAGCTTGCTATCTGGGATTGCCAGGTGTCGTGAGTTAATTGGGTAATGAGCTTGCTTTTAAGGGCTTGCCAGGGGGCTGGGAGATATAGAAGAAGCAGCAGAGAGAGAGAATCCACTGTTAAAAAAGGTCCTGAATAAACTGCTTGCAAGAAGAGCTCCGGTGTTGCTGGTCGAGGTGGACGCAACACTTGACCATGAGCTTTTAAAATGGAAGTAACTTAGACGGAAGTCATCTATGAAAACCTTACATTGGTTTGGAGTATTATGTGTTATGTGGGGTTATTAGTTTACAACAACTTTCCTGTTACTGCCCATTCTCCTCATCCTCTTCCACTTCCTACTTCTTGTCTCCATCACTAGAGTCTGTGTCACCATACAGAACTCTCTAGACAGACGCAGGGCGTAGGGAATCACTGGATTGCTTTGTCCATCTATTGTTCCTCCATCTGCCCAATGGGACCATCATAGCAATGGCTTGATGTAGCAATTTGTAAGCAGCACTGTAGAAGTAAAAGGTGGATTTCCTTCAAGAAAAGATGTCATAGGACAGAAATAAATAATTTCCATTGTCTAGTCACATCAAAAGCTAACTCTAATCTGTTAGTGTAAAAGAAACTTCAAAATTCAACTTCCAAAGCTCCTCTGCGAGTGCCTTGCTTCTTCACTGTGTCAGTGATGTGTGTCAGTCAGTCAAGTTTTGCTGTTCTGCTTTGCATTTGCTTTTAAAGCACTTTAGAAGTCTGGAAGAAAGGAAAAAACAGCACAAAGAAGGTCTCTATCTGAGTGACACTTTGCCTCGAAAGAAAACCACACCTTCCGTCTCCCCACACTTCAGCAGTGCCACCACAGGGAGAAGCAGCACCCCGAAGGTAGGACTCAGAAGAGCCAAGGCCTTCTCTTTCTGTAGCATCTTCTTATAGTTGCCAACAAGGGCCAAGTTTTTCAAATGCAAAAATAACTGAATACTTTGTCATTACATTTGCTTGTTGGGCAGATGTCATCACTAAATTGCTTTTTCTGTCCCATTCTGAGGGTATTTGGAATAACACATTCTGGGCTAAAGAATGTATTTTCTGCGACCACAGTACACATGGTGGGTACTCTTCATTCATAGGACAGACAGATGCCCTCTGGCTGTGCCCATATTTAGAAGTAACAGAGAATATAGGCTCTGAGCTTCAGGAATGACAGTACTAAATAGTGACCAGGTGGTGTCTGCATGCATGGCACCAGGCTTAGCCCTTTATGTGAATCCAGCACCACTATGTAAATGCTTACTCGTCACTGCCCTAGTAGTGGATAAACTGAAGAAGAAGCAGCTAAGTGACAACCCAAGATCCCTCAGCTGGAAACTGGGGGAGTCAGAATATGAACAGCGGTGATCTGACACCTGTTCCCTTGCTGGAGTGCTCAGAGCATTATTTAGAAAGAGAGAGAGGAGTAGAAGGGAAGCTTCTAGTGGGGTGGACTTTTAGCCCTTCTCTTATCCATAATTAGGGTAACTATATTGTAATCTATTTTACAAGATGGTGTTTTAAGTGGACTTTATTCACACATAGGATTTCACTATTTAAAAAGAATAAGAGCTGTGCATGGTGATGCACACCTCTAATCCCGGCATTCAAGAAGCTGAAGAGGGGGTCAGTATGAGTTTGAAACCTACCTGGCCTTCAGAGAAAAACCCTATCTCAAACAGCAAATCCCCAGTGAAGCATGCTAAAGCCAGTGGCTCTTAGTGGGTTTCAGCAGAGCTATGGGCAGAGAGAGACTGGAACACTTGGGCATGGACTGCTTGTCCCTGTGGTTTGGCATGGTGTGCATGCATCCTTGGCCGTGCACCTGCCCTCTGCACCTTATGCATGGGAAGCTTTCCATCACTCTCACGTGACTGTGGACAGTGTCTTTCTCCACCCATCTTCTCTTTTGAAATCGTTGCTGTTCGAGGACTAGGTGTGATACGGAGACCGCAGTAGAGTTTCTTGAGAGCAACAGTGGGTGACTAGCCTTTACTATTTGGCATCAAGAAGTGGGACTTGAGACCAGCCATCTCTTCCCTTTGTACTTAGAGGGGAGCTTTCAAAACAGGAGTGTGACCATGTCCTGGGATACCATTTGATATTCAGTCTACCTGGCCTGAATTGTCTCCCCCCGCCCCATTTCTCTCAGGCTCACCTGCCTCTGGGGCAGAGCAACAGCTGTGGCAGTGTGCTTCCCCACTCTCTGGCAACCATGACCAAGGACTCAGAATCTCGGAGGATGCTCAGAGGTATGTACCCTTTAAACCACATGTCACGATCTTCTAAGCATGAGAATTCCCCATGGAGAGGTGATGAGAGCAAAGTTGGGAACATTAGGGAGAAGATGAAGCCATGTCCTGAATTTTACTATTAGTATGTTTGCCTTTGGGGAAAGATGTGTGTGTCGTCATCTTTGTAACAAGGTAACATTTCCCTGTTTGTACATATCCTCAGTGCATTGTAAACACACCTGCTACAGTTTACAAGTTCAGCCAAACTTCCATACTAGAAAGGCCTCGAGAGAATTGTTAACCTTCCCATTTGATCGATAGATAGAAAAAACATCACTGGAATGCTGAGAAATTTCCAGGGCACTTCACCAAGATCAGGCTTGTCTATGGTTGACACTGTGTTAAATGACCCCTGAGCTGGAGTCAAAGAACTGACATGGTTAATGGGTCAAGAAGAGAATTTCTTTGAGCCTTTTGGTTGTAAGCTTGAGATCTTCTACTGTGTAGTTAGGTTTCGGGTGGACCTGGGTTCTTGGCGTGTGTTCTTTAAAAAAACATATTACATGTGTAGTAAGGTTATCAAATAGTCTTTAAGGGAAACTGAAAGAAATTACTGCAGTGTCATTCCAAAAGCAAGACTCTTATTGAAATGAAGCTATATGTTAGTAGAGTAGTTTACAACAACTTATATTGGCTTTAATTTTTTAGCAGATTTGTATTAGATACCAAGAATGCAAAGGAATGGGCTATTATTTAACTTTGAAATGCTTTGAGTCTAGAGGGAAAGGATGGAGACACATAACAGATGGTTTTAATAAACTGTCAAATGCAATGGTGGAGGTTTGTTGAGGATGTAAAGGGGAAAGCTGGCAGACATTTGACCATCAAATGCACTCATGAATTGATGGATTGAAATTTTGCCCTTATGCAAATTAAAATTGAATTCTAATTGTTGAGCTTCTCTGCTGATGACATTAGGGTATAATCACTGTGTGTGTATACACATATATATACACATACTACATATACTGTATATATATATATATATGTATATGTATGTATATATATGTATATATATATATATATATGTATATGTATGTATATATATGTATATATAGACAATATGTATGTTATGTATGTATGTATATGTATATATATATTACTGGGATGAGGTTTCAAATCAGTATTAGATGTGACTTAATGAATTAATGGAGCAAACATTAAGTTTTCTGGGTAGTAAATATTGTATGTCTAGCATTCAGGAGGCTGAGGCAGGAGGATCACAAGACTGAGGTCAGCCTGAGCTGCATAGTGAGATCTTGTCTCAAAAAAAGGAGTTAATAAAGCTGGGCAAAGTGACATATGCCTGTATTCTACCTACGTGGGAGGGGTAAAGAGGAGGCAGGAGGGGTCAGGAATTCAAGGCTAGTCTGGGCTAGTTAGCAAAAAAGGGTTAAGACAGAGTATAGTGTTTATTTGAGGTTTATATTTGTAATGTTGAAATAAACTACATTTGATTAGACTTCTGTTTTATTTATTATGATTACTTAAGATAAAAATATTTTTAGTATTCACAATAAGCATAGAAGTCTATGTTGGCTCTCACTTATTTCTTAACTTGGAGGTCAATTCTATTTCCTATTGAACCATTTTTCTGTAACATTAATAGATTTCACTTAAGATGTATATTCCACTATAGTGGAAGGCATCCAAGCTTGAAGTGGCCATGCAACTGAGACCTTTCTGCATATTCATGAACTTTCCATCCTTCATATGCATGAGCTTTCAGTATTACTGGGATTTAGGGAAAGGTGGAGCCCTGAAAAAAGGAAGCAAGACCAGAAATAACTATTCCCAGTACTGTGGGTTTTTTTTGTTTTGTTTTGTTTTTTTTTCTACTCTTACCTCTTTGCTCTTTAGGGACCTGCCTCCCAGCTCCCAAATAAACACATGGAGACTTATTAGTACTTATAAATGCCTGACTTTAGCTTGGCTTGTTTCTTGCTAGCTTTTCTTATCTTAAATTGTCCCATCTACCTTTTGCCTCTGGGATTTTGCCTTTTTCTGTTTGTCTGTATCTTTTCTTTCCTTCTTATTCTGTGTCTGACTGTGTGGCTGGGTGGGTGGCTGGCCTCTGTCACCCTCTCTCCTCCTTTTCTTGATCCTTCTTCTCTTTTCTCCTTCTATTTATTCTCTACCTGGCAGCCTCTCCTATCCTTTCTCCCGCCTAGTATGAATGGATCAACTCTTTATTAGACCAAGCAGGTGTTTTAGTCAGGCCAAGTAACATAGCTTCACAGAATTAGATAAATGCAACATAAAAGAATGCAACACATATTTGCATCATTAAACAAATGTTCCACAGCATGAACAAATGTAACACATCTTAAATTAATATTCTACAACACAGTACCAAGAACTTTTATTTTAATTAGAGAGCATGGAAAGCTGGATCTACTAAATGAGTAGATCCATGAAGTTGAGAGTTGCTTGCAGTACCATGCAGCTGGGTTCCTGTGACAAGATGATGAAGCTGGGGAGTTTCTGGCCTAGTTTTCTAATCTGCACTACCCTTAAATAATGGGGTAGTTTTGTAAAGAGAACTTAAGCCAACCTCTGAGGTTATGTTACGGATGCAGGTTCTGCAAGTCTATCTAGTCTCTCTTTGGTGCTCTTGTTCTCCTTTGCTGTGACTCTTGGGCGCATGAGAAGACTGTAGCTTCAGGCTTGCTGCACTGCTGAAGTAATGTCCTGCTTAGAGCTTTATGGGCCTCTGCTGGATGGCTCTGAAGAACCATAATCCAAGTGTTCTGTGGACTCAGTAGTGGCCCTCTACCCAGAGGAGCAATGGCCAGGGATGAGATTTCTTCAAGCCACAACAGATGGTAAAAATTGGCAGGAGTTTACACAAGGCCCATATGGGTGTCTCAACAGAGACCAGGAGGGGTGAATCATGTATTTAGAATTGTTTCCGAAGCACTTGTTGATTTCATTAAAATAAAAAATGTGATTAAAATTGCAGTCTGGACAAATTTATATCTACTATGTTTTCATTATGTCAAATTTAGTAGACTTCCTCATTTACTTTTTATGTACACAATTAACTAAAGTGCACTGTTTTTTTGCTGCTACTCGTAATGGATACATCAAGGATGATGGTGTAAGTATAAGCCTTCTTCAATCAGTACTGTTTTCATAGCACTGACAATGTGAGTCAAGGAACATCAAGGGAACTGAGTTCAAAGGCGAGAGCTGAGGACCTAGACTCCTCAAGTTGCAGACGTCATTGCCTTTTTTATGCAGCTTGTCAACTGTTCTTTGTAAGCTTTAGAACGAATAAAATTTTCATCATTTTTTGTTTGTTTGTTTTTGTTTTTTTGTTGTTGTTGTTAAATGCAGGAAAGCCCAAGAAAGGTATGACAACATCCTTGTGTGATGTTTTTGTTTCCAGCAAATATGGAAAGGTCATTGTCAAGTCATCTTTATGGCCTGCTCTGATTTTAGAGTCTACAATGGTAGATTTTTAGTCTGATTGTTCCTTTTCCCCAATAGAGAAAAACATCGCTGTACATTTTTAAGGAATGCAATGCTCGTGGCAGCTGATGCTGTTTCTTTGAAGGCAGCTGCATGACTCTTTTTTTGTGGGCTTTTATAACAAGTTCATACCATGCAGGAGACATAGATGTAGTGACAGCATTCATTGTAACCATACAGTCATTGTAGGGGCTACTTAGAAGAGTGGACATGGAATGTATCTAGACTCAATGCAAACTAGGATGTTTCTCTTTATATGAGGCTAGGTGGACATAAAGGCAAGTGGAAGGATAGAAGGGTTTGGGAATCTCCAGTATGTTTGTTTCACTTAAGCTCATTTGGTAAGAAAGACTTTGGAGGGTGAAGCAAAGTGTAAACACCTGGCTTGAATAAGTAAGATGGCTATTTGTGGGGTTAGGTAGCAATGCATAGCATGAGAAAGAACTTGTTGTAAAGTGTCATGGGCTGTGCATCAAATAATTGAATGGCATCTAAAATTTTAGTTGATCTAATTATGCTTATGTTTACGAATGTTTTGCCTGAATGTATTCTTGTGCAACACATGTGTACCTGGTGCCCAAGGATTCCAGAAGAGGGCATCCTTTCCTGAATCTGGAGTCACAAAAGGTTGTAAAAGCCATATGGCTTTTAGGAATGGAACCCAGGTCATCTGGAAGAGCAGGCGGTGCTTTTAACCACTGAGCCACCTCTCCAGCCGCTTGAATAGGAAATTTTTCCTTAAGTTCTTGAATACTGTTTGCTACTGTCTGCTTGAAAAAAAAAAATGGTTTAATAAATATAATCTTGGGTTTTTTCTTATTATTATCATCACTATTTTCTGGTTGGTAGATACGTGTAAAAGTTTTTTTTTTTTTTTGTAGCAAATATTTTTTTCTAATTATGCATGTACCATGAGCCTTTTAAAAAATCTGAGTTTTTATTTCTAATCTTAGATTGAATGTGAAATGTGATTATCATTCATGTTCATACTCTGTTATTACTAACAAGTCAAAGAGTGCATGTTGGAGTGGATAGTTCCCATCCCCATGTCAGCCTTTCTGACCTTGTATCTCTCACCTTTCTCTGCCTTTCTCCCTCCCCTCCTGACTTGTCCATTCTTCTGGCTGTGGACTGTCATTAGGAAGAATGACTCCATCAGCAGGTGAGCTGTGACTGGTGCGTTGTCAGAAGCACACACTTCCATCTTAAGCCCTGGTTGTAATCTTAAATCATTCCAAGAGTTCCTCATTAAGACACACATAGCCATTAGAAATGTATTGTGTGAATTTGAAATATGTTGGGAAAACAAGAGAACTTTGAGCACCAATAAGCCAGAATTCATTGAAATTGGCATTAAAAATAAGAAAAATGACTGGTCTTTGCACTCCAATCTACAGGCTTTCCTGGACAAGGAAGAGGGCTGAGTTGTTTCCTGGTGTATTCTGTGCTGTGAAACTAGGTCTAGCCATGAGGTCTTGCTTTGTAAAACTTAAAACTACCCCTTTACACACTACTGTAATTTTTTTAGCTCTTTTCATTTCACTGAGCATTGTTCTTGCTTGCTATATAACTAAAAAAGTAATCACAAAACCAAGTGGACTTGGGTTGAGAACCTCTCCAGTTTCCCAAGTTAATTCCTTTATCTAACCCCCAAAGTAGACACATTCCTGCTTTATGGGACCGATCAGATAGAGTTTATAGACAAAAGGTGAACTCATTCAGTGCCGGTTTTGTGATGTCATCAAGGTAGGTAAGCAGGGGGATCTGCTGTGAGCCAGGTACCTGTGTCTCCCTCCCAGCGCCGTAGGGGTTGGGGTGGGAGTATGCTCAGGCCAGTTTAAGGCTACTCCACTGCCTTTCTTCGCTCAGCAGTTCCTGGGGCTGCCACTCTCTGCAGCTCTCCAAGCTCTGTTCTTCTTTGGTCTTTCCTTTACAGAAAGTGCCAGTGCCTTTGAATGGTCAGCTCTGAGCTCAAATCCCCAAACTCGCTCACTTAGGTACAATTCTAAGATTACAAGGGAGAGATCTATTCTCTTATTTATCAACTCATTTGCTTCCTTTATTAAAAAGGAAAAAAAATCTTGTTATTTTTCCCAGGTCCAACTGGAGCTCACCCACCATACTGTGGCCATACCCTTATTTATAATGGCGGGAGAACATTTTTTAAAATGTGTTTGGTAGAGAAAAGCCATCTCAGGTGGACAGCTGTAGCAAACATATATTGCCAGTTGGCAGTGTTGAGTAGCTTGATGTGGTGAATATGCAGTTCACACTGGTAGTGAAAGTCCTATGTTGGAAAAGGTTTCATTATCTCCAGGCTTTGTTGTTTAAGCTTCTGCAGAACTTTAAGGTTCTTATTCTGTGTTTGTAATGACTGCGTGAGCCACTTGGCACAGAGCAAAACTCAGCAAATTTGGCATTGGTCTGTGGGACTGAAGTCCACAAGCCACAGGGCAGTTCCCATTGTAGTGTAGTTGTTCCTTGTGCAAATGTCTGAGCATTTTAGTTTCCTGCCTTTCTCACTTGAAGATAAGAATTCATTTTCTTAGTCTGGGATATCTCTGAAGAGAACAAGACAAAACCGAGAACTCTGGAAGATTGGAGAGGCAAGCCATGGGTGTTTGAGATGCGCGAGCCCTCCTTTTTGCTGTCCTCAGAATGTGTTCATTCCTGACTTTTCTTGCCTGAAGAAAGCTCAATGGAGGAGAGGGAGGAAGGGGCTACGATAGATAGAAATCACAGCCAGGGATATAATTCTCATATGCTCTAAATTACATGGGTGCCATTTAAGGATTTATTATTCATGTTTTCATGAGGACCTGTCTTCCATGTAGCTGATCCCAGTATGAAGGCTTTCTATGCTTCAGCATTGTCTAAAAGTTATAAGGAAATAATTGCACGTAGCCTTCTCAAATAATTTTTCTTGTCATTTTCCCTTCCTTTCCTAATGAAAATCTGGAAAAGGAACAATTAATTGCAAAAGTTCAAGTGTAAAAGGTAAATGTCTGAGTGATGGCTTTCCTGCCTTTCTTTTAAACAGTGACACAAACAAGCTGCACACTTGGAAGGCCTGGCTTTGTGTGATGCTGCGTGCACTGATCACTGCTGTGATGGGTGTTCTGTCTGCTTTCACTGTGTACCCCTGTGTTTCATGTCTTCCCTAGCTCTGTGATATGTGTCTGTAATTTATAATAGCCGATTGTGTGAGGAAATCTCATTTTCCTAGAGATGCATAAGTCACGTAGACCACACAAATACAAAGGACACAAAATAGTATGTCTCTCATAAATTTTATAGAGCCTTTGCATAGATGATACTTTATTAAGGCATCATGGGTGAGGCCCCTGTTTCTAAACAAATGTAAATAAGCAGTTGTGGAAGCTGTTTGTTTTGTTTTGTTTTTTGTTGTTGGTGGTGGTGGTTTTGTTGTTTTTTTTATCTTTTTATCTCCTTTAAGCCACTTTTTTTTTCTTATTTAAAATCCTCATTGAAAGGTAGTTCCCAAGAAAAGATGCCATATTTAAGTGGTCTAGTAAACTCTTAACAGGACTACTCTCAACTCCCTGGGTTAATGGGAAATGGATTTTTCTCTTATCAGAAGAAAAGATTATAAAACATGGGAAAACATTTTGATGAAGTTGGAGATTTTTCACTCCTGTCTCTGTTTCCTGTGTATATATGGCAGAGAACTGAAAAGAAGACAGTGTGATATTTAACACCCAAAGGTAGCTATAGCAAAAGCAAGTAAGGCAATGACCTCATATGCCAGCTGTCAGAGTACAAGGGAAAAAAGAAAGTGCCTTTCATTTATGGTGCTTTTGATCCTATTGACGCCCACGTTTTCAAATAGTTAGCAGCAGTTAGCTAAGGGCTGACTGTTAAAGTGGGAAAAGGAAAGTTAGCAACATAGCAAGGAGAAGGAGCCTATCCATATGAGGGATTATTGACCCTGAATATTTTAAATAAGTAATTGGCATTCAAGAGAAATTGAAGGAGGGGAAAGACAGAACAAAAGACAGAGACAGACTATGAAAGAGACAAATGCTGATTGCATCTGAAACAGATGAAAACATTACAGACACCATGAAATATACATTTCTCAACCCCTGCCCCTGGGAAATGCACTTGTTTTGTGAATGTTCCCAAAATATGCCTGCAATTGCAGCAGTGGCTGTGCTATGATGCTGACATTGCACTAGGCATCACATAGCCTTCACTCAAACACCGCTATTTCTAGAGGATGCAGAGCTTCTAATCCTGCTTCTGGTTTCCGGGGATTGTGCATGCATGTGTGTGCATGTTTGCATGTAGGCGTGTGTGTGTGTGTGTGTGTGTGTGTGTGTGTGTGTGTGTGTGTGTGTCTTTTAATGTCCTGATATATTAATCTCGGCTATGTTGAGTTGTAGGGCTGAGATTTAGGAAGTGCCAAGTGATCCCACTGACAAATAAAATCCCTCACATGATCACTTCTTTCAAATTCTTGCTCACACTGGGCATGGCATTGTTTCTTTGATCTTCTTGACTTCAGACTATATTAGACCGGTGTCCAGATTTCACATGCAGGTGTTTCTCGTTGCTGGCTTGAGTCTGTAGATTTGTGAGATTTTGAGCTTGATAAATGAGACATATTTACATATTTATGGCTTTCTCCTTAGGTTATAATCACCAACAGATGAGTGAAGGACAGAGACAGAAACCTGAATTTTACAACCGCACAGCATCTGAGTCAAATGTCTACTTGAATAGTTTCCATTACCCAGATCACAGCTACAAGGACCAGGCCTATGACACGCTGAGCCTGGACAGCTCAGATAGCATGGACACCAGCATTTCTGCTTGTTCACCAGACAATATCTCTAGGTAAGGCTTGATGAAATCTACCTTTCAATTTCAAATATAAACTCATCAGTTTGAGACACAATGTATATTATAAACTCAAATTTTAGTTACAAAATCTACAATGCAGATGGGGACAGGGAATCTGGGGACACTGGGAAGCAGTTTCCTTGCATCACATGTATTTTTCCGGCCAAGAATCACATGATTCATTTTCTTACTTTGAGTCCTTTATGCTTGGTTTCTGATTTACACCATGCTTCAAAACTTGTTATCTCTGTCAGTAGACTACAAGTTCTGTTTGCACTTGCTTTTTATTAATAAGGCAATGATCTCCAAGAACAGAGTTTCAAAAGCTCTTTTGACCTTTTTGCTTTGGTAGAGAGAAAGTATTAATTAATCTATATTTTTTAAATTTAGCCAGTCATATTTGCCTTCATCTTTTGAGACAAGAGGAAGTGGTGCTAAGGACTCAGGAACAAACACATTGGAGTCATAAAGCAGTGGCATTGTTCTCCTTTTCTGAAGCCCGGGCCGTGAATGCCCTGCCATCTACTGGGTTAACTGAAACCCGGAGCCATCGGTCCAGCCCCACCTCTCCCTCTTCTCCACATCTTCCTAGCTCTTCAGGATGAGGGCTCCCAATGCGCTGAGAAAGCTGGAGCTTAGCATTTTCTCACAGTCTGAGCACAAAGTCAGGGTTTGTGAAGTCAGTAAAAAGGCAAGAGTAAAAAAGAAGAGCCATTGTAGGTGGCATCCAGAATATTCTCCTAAAAGGTGGTTCCAGAATTTCAGCAGAAAAGGATTTTTGCAGATTTTGCCTTCAGTTATTTGTTTTCCAAGATTTAAGACTTTTTCCCCTAATTTATGGACTAGATCTTTCAGAACATATTCTCAGACAATCCCCCCCAGCATATATAATGTATTTTGATCACATTCACCACCCTTACTCGCTTTTCCCTCCAACCACCTCTGAATGCCTGCCACTGCTGTGTACCGACAACTGTGTTTTTCTGACTCTTGTGTTTATTGACAGTCTAAATAAAGAGCAAAACCAATGCCAGCTCCAGGCATTTTCTGGTATTCATGAAAATGATGTTTCAACAAAAAGTGAAGGCAAATGTGCCCACAACTGAGTAACTCTATCACTCTGCAAATGGCTTTTTGTGACATAATAAACCACAAAACCAAGTTTGTTTCACTAGAATTTCGGAATGGAATTACTTCTTTAATAGACTTATAATTTGGGGATATTTTAATGCATAGTTTAAAAAAATCTTTGGCACAGCAGTTTTTATTTTTTCAATCCTTGATTGTTGTGTGTACCAGCTTCGAGATGATCCCAAGGAAGACATTGCTCCACAGCGTGCATCCCCAATAGTCTCTGTACTATTTGTTTGCCTAAACTTCATCATGGTGTCTTCCAGCATAATGAGGAGTAAAACTTACCTTAATATAATATGCTTTTTAATGTTTTTTCTTTTTAGATGCATCTATTTTTATTTTATGAATAGGAGTGTTTTCCCTGCCTGTAATGTTTGCTGTGTGTGTGTGTGTGTGTGTGTGTGTGTGTGTGTGTGTGTGTGTGTGTGTGTGTTTTCCTGGCTCCTTTGGAGGCCAAAAGAGGGCATCAGGTCCCCTGGAGTTACTGACAGGTCTATACACAGTTAATTATAATTACAGACAGCTGCTACATGGATGTTAGGAATTGCACCCAGGTCCTCTGGAGGGGCAAAAGATGCTCTTAACCAATAAGCTATACCTGCAGCCCAGAACATGCACTTTTTCAGGTAATTAGTGGCAGTGGAGTGGAATTTCTCATTTCTCTTTCTTCAATTTATACTCCACTTTTTGTTGGTATTCTCTACTTTATGTTCAATTTTTGGCATTTTGAGTAAGCACTTAGTGATATCTGACCATGAGCAATAGTTACCTGCAACTGCCAGCACAGTAGGACCATCTGCAGGTGAAACAGCTGTGGAAGGTAATGGGGCTGTGCATAATGACTTTCCAGGAATGGTGGCTCGGCAGGAACATGGCCATACAGAGATCTAAGGGACAGATGTGTCTTACAGACACACACACAAATGATAACTGTGTGAAATGATGGATATGTTAATGAGCTCGATTTTAGTCATCACTTTACAATGTGTGCAGTTATCCCAACATCATATCATACACCATTTATGTGCAATTGTCAGTTAGACACTCCATAAAGCTGAAAACAAAAGACGAGTAAAGAAACAAAAATAGTAAATAATAGAATCTAAGTAAATATAAATTGTATAAAATGTGACAAATGAGGTGAAGTATGGTTTGTTTCTTTTGTATATAGGTGTCTGTAGGCATGTACATGCACACTCGTGTGTGTGTGTGTGTGTGTGTGTGTGTGTGTGGCTGAGAATGGAATCCATAACTTCATATACCCTAGGCAAGTGCTCTACCATTTAGCTGTAGCCCCAGTCCTATTGTTTTTTTAATTGGGGGGTTTTGAAGACCTGTGATTTATTTGTTTGAGACATAGCCATACAAGTGTGATCATGGACATCAGTGTGGAATAGGCATATATTTGTATGCTCTTGTATGGCCTGCAGCATATAATGTCCTCAGCTTTCTCAGCTGAATCAGATATGTTTGTTCCCTTTCCATCTATAAGTTAACAAGTTACTCTTTCCTATTTTGCCCAACAGCTATTGGAAAGAATAGTGGAAAAAAAGAAAGGAATGAAGGAAGGGGGATAAGGAGGGAGGGAGAGAGAGAATACGAGAAAGAATGAGAGAAAGAAAGAAAAGAAAAAGAAATCATTGTATTATGTTTCTCGGAGGAAAGCACGTGGCTAAAAATTGGCCCCAACACACACAGCACCCAGTTGATGGGCCTGTAACATTCCAAGGTCCCTTAGGTAGTCCTCACTCCCGTGTCTGCTCCTGGTGGGACTGGCTGTTTTGAGAAGATAAGTTATGTGCTCTGTGTTACTGGGATCCTTCAGTGCACACCTAGTCTTAGATCAGAGTCATCTTAGGTTTGATTTTGGGCAAAAATAGATGAGGAGGCTGGGTGTGGTGTCTCACACCTGTAAATCCTACTCTAAAGGCCAAGGTAGGAGGATGATGAGTTACAGGCCAGCCTGGGCTACATAGTGAGATCCTGACTCAGAAGTTCATCCCGGCCTTGGTAGATGAGCCAGTCCATGTAGTACTTGCCACATAGCATGAGGATCAGAGTTTGATTCCTATAACCAGTATGGATAGACAGACAGACTGATTGACTGACTGATAGATGATTGATATATACATACATACATACATACATACATACATACTTACATACATACACACGCACACAGATGCCAGACACAGCGGAACAGACACAGGCTTGCCATCCCAGTAAGGGGAGGCAGAGCCAGATTCTTGGGATTAAATGGCCAGCCAGTCTAATTGGGAAGCTCCAGGCTGGTGCGAGACTCTGTCTCACAAAGCTAAATAGAGGGCTCCTGAAGAACACCACCTCTCATCTCTACATACATGTTCCACACATGTACCACCCCCACACACACACAGATGTCCATGCACATATATTAGTCATGCTTATATGATGTACTCTAATAACCTGAAGGACACACATTTTTATACACTTCCAGTGAATATCCTTCCTGGGCCATGGGGACAAACAAAACAGCCTGTCCATTCTCAAGTGGACCTAGAAACACGATAGGGGCTTGAGTGAGCACAGCACACTCTGCAGGACACAGAAGGCCTCTGCACCAATGAAACATGGATATAAGATCTCTGACCGAGCCCCCGGCTGTTCTTGCAGCTCCCACTCTTTTGTTTTTGTTTTTTTTTTTTCTTCACTTGTTGAAGTAATGTTACTTCCAAGATTCATTTCTTTTGAAGTTCTTGAATCCCTTTGTGCATTTTCCTCATTAATATGACAGGGGAAGGCTTTGAACATTACTGACCACCACTTAGTGCACCGCTGCTAGTCACTTGGACATTGGTATCATTTAAAAAGTAAAATGCCCACACATACAAAGGTACAGCAAGCCGCAGGGGTGACACATATTCCTCAGCTGAAGAAAGTGATTTCACACATTAGGCACCATTTGCATAGGACATGGTGATTTTCTAGTTTGTATGACAATGTGAGGGTCAGCAACCAAAGGAAAGGTTCACATGCTGTCACTGATAGACCTGAAGGCTGCATTTCGGAGGCCCACTTCATAAGAATTAGCATTGCCTTCTTTGTTTCTAACCGGTATACACTGGCTTTGTCTTGCATGCTCATTTTTGACTCCTACACGGAGATAAGTCGATCTCAGCTGTGATTTTTCAGAGATGAGTTGATTGGCCCCTGAAGACCAAATGCCTCATGAGTAATATCCTACAATTTGTATATGTTTTGATTTGTGGAGTGTAGCTTGACTCTGGGGTGTGTGTGTGTGTGTGTGTGTGATTTGATTGTGATATGTAAATTTAGCGTGTGTGTCAGAAAGACTCACCAGGCTGAACAAATGTGTTTTTAAGTATATTTTTATTAATTCTTTGAGAAGTTTCCCTAAGCATACCATGTATTTTAATCACAGTCGCCCTCCGAGACTCCCCTCTCTCAGCAAATATTCTTAAAAGGTATTTTATTCCCATCAGTGCCAGCACATCTAATATTGCCAGAATAGAAGAAATGGAGAGACTCTTGAAACAGGCTCATGCCGAGAAGACCCGGCTACTGGAATCCAGGGTAAGGAAGGCAGAGATCCTGCTGGGAGTCTCTGATGGATGTGGCAGGGAGGAGCCCTATACTTGCTAGCAGCCTTCTTTCAGGGCCCTGACTGAGCGCTGTGACCTTGGATGGCCACTCAGCCTCCTTTTCTATCCAAAAAGGGAAGGTGCCAGAGAGAGCTTCTAGGCCCTTTACTTCATTTTTGTGCCCAGGAACTTCAAGTGTGTGGCTGTGTTTTACACAGACTGAGATGGGAACTGAATGCTTTCTACTGTGTATCCCCCTAGATGGCCACATGGATGTTTTCTTGAAGGAAGAGGGGAAGAATGATGTTTCTTTATTTGTTCTCTTGTCCTTCCCAACTCCTGCTGACTTCACTATTACACAATTCAAAACCCCCCTGCTATTGTGACTTTATTTCAGGCCAGAAGAACTTCCTTAGGAACCCCCCCTCCTCCCAACGCTTTTGCATCCTGCCCTGAGGGCACCTCCTTTCCTTTTCCACTACCCACAAAGCTTCCCCCTGACCTCCAGCCAGGAAGCACAGAGCAATAACAGGAATTGAAGGGACCTGTGGCCTTCACCCAGGACAGTCTCCCAGAGAAAAGTCTAAGCTGCATGGCTAGTGCTTCATGACAGTTTGCAAGGAAGAACAAAATGTCTGCATGTAGTCACAAGCCAAATTTTTATTTAACACTAATATTTAATTGTTGGCTGATTAATAATTGCCATAATTAATGGCATAAGATGACTTTGGGAGCTATACAGAAGGCCATCATGGTTTATATGAGCCCAGGTTATATATTTCAAGAAACTAGGATACAGCGTGAAAATTGTCTAATGATAATTGGAGTTTGGGTATTTAGTAATTGGTCCCTTCAAGTGTAAGTGCCATGTTTTTAAGTAATTTATTATTCTGTATGATGGTAATTAGGAACGGGAAATGGAAGCCAAAAAACGAGCTCTGGAGGAAGAAAAACGACGCCGGGAAATCCTAGAAAAACGACTGCAAGAAGAAACCAGCCAGAGGCAGAAGCTAATAGAAAAAGAAGTGAAAATAAGAGAGAAACAAAGGGCACAGGTTGGTCAGTCAATGTGGATGCATAAGTGTAGGGTGCCCCCTGGTGGTCATTTGGTAGAAGATATTAATTCTGTCCAACTACCTCATGCTTGATGGAATGGTTCAGCTATGGACTATTGTGAAGGCTGTGTTCATTTTATAATTTCTAGGGAACTACCAAGCAACTCGCACTTTGCTCTACTCACATGTGACTCATATGTTCTACTCACATGAAGGAAGGAGAAAGAGAGCCATCTATTCTCTGGGTACATTTAAAAGGAGAACATATTTTGTCTAGCTTTGAAAAATTCCATTGAAGTGGTCATTAAAAACACAGAGAGCAGACCAGAGAGATGGCCCAGCAGTTAAGAGCACTTTTTTCTCTTCCAGAGTACTGGAGCTCTGCTCCCAGCTGCCACTCATGTCTGGCAGCTCAGAAACTGCCTGTTCCTATAACTCCAGCTCCATGGGGCCCAATGGACTCTAAGATCTGGTACTGCATGCACTCAAGTGTGCACGCACGCACGCACGCGCGCGCGCGCGCGCGCGCACACACACACAGAGACACACACACACACAGACACACACACACATACACAGACACACACACACACACACACAAAGGTTGAAAATCAAATTTAAAATGTTAAAAATATGTATACGTATAAAACGTGATAGCTTGAAGTATATATGTATGTATACAAATATGGATATATATCATGCAAACTAAAAACTGTGATGGAGGAAAGAATTCTATCAGGCAATCTCTAGAAGCAAACTTTCCAAAACAGGATAAACTTAAATATTAATAGTACAGTTTCTTGGGCTGGTGGTAATAATACTACCTTTTTTTTTTCTTTTGTTCCCCCGTTTCTAACCACATATGTCCCCTTTCCTGCACCAATTTATAGTACATGTTCCTTCAATTAACAAACTCAACCAAGACAGGAAAAACATCCATTTGGTTTCGATTTCTTCTTTCTTGGTCACCATAGCTGCTAACATTATGTATATTTTCTGAGGATGGAAATTTTAAAAATACTACATCATGCAAAACTCACATCAGTTTCATCCAAGTTGGTCACTCGTCTAGTAGACCCAAAGGCATCATTTCTCTCATCTTCTCCAGTTGCTGACCGTTTGGTCCTACAGAGACTGGCCAATGTCTTTGATGTTTTATGTGTGGTGTGGCTTTGGGAAGCCTGTGGCAGCTGCCTTACAGTGAAGGTGTAAAAAAAAAAAAAATACTGAGAAAAATGGAAACTGAAATGGATCTTTTCATTGGATTATGCTCTGACCTCTGCTAAACTCTGACTGGCAGTGAAGGTCATCCATGCCAGTTTAACATCTGAAGCCAAACCAAAGGGCAGAATTCTATTTTAGTCCTGATTATAAGCTCTTCCTCCAACTCTACGACTAGATCATTTCCCCAGGGCAAAGGCATGGAATGATTTAGCAGAATTTTAAAGACAGAGAGGGCATTTGGAAGCAGCATCCATGGTGATCTGTGCTTCCTGGGTGATGTGAACCTTGGCCCTCACCATTAGTAAAACAAGACATCTGTGCACAACCCTCGGGCCTCCAGCATTGATCCTACCCCTCTGTTTATTTTAACTTCTCTTTCCAAAGCATACACCTCTCTTTAAATAGATGAGCTAGCAATTTTAACTCTGGGGCATCTTCTGAGGGTTATACCTTCAAACAGTGCCTGTTCGATCAGGCTGTGTGTAGATTACCATAGGAGCACTGTTGTTATGCTGCGGTGGGAGAAGGAGCAGCTGGATGGCAGTGTGTCTCATCCCCTACATGGCTTCCAGGGCGACTTCTTTGATGTTACATTTGCGAGGTCTTTTCATTCTCACTTCTGTAAAATCAACGGGCCTGCCTTTAGCCGCCCCTTCTCTAATGTAGCATTCTACTTAAATGTCTATTAGGCTCCAAGTGACAAATGCCTTGTTTATCATGGGTTCTTGTAAATTACTTGGCATTTTAAGGCCTTGGCTATGCACTTCTTTCTCGAATCTAATATATGCAATCTGAAACAGAACATTCTCTATAGACAAAATGGGTTTTGCACTTTTCCAGGCTCGTCCTCTGACTCGATATCTACCTGTCCGGAAGGAAGACTTTGATTTGCGGAGTCACGTGGAGACGGCGGGCCACAATATTGACACCTGTTTTCATGTGTCAATCACAGAGAAGACCTGCCGAGGATACCTTATCAAAATGGGTGGAAAAATTAAGACATGGAAGAAACGCTGGTTTGTTTTTGATCGGAATAAGCGGACATTTTCTTACTATGCAGGTGAGTGCTAAAAAAAAAAAAAAAATTAAAGTGACATATTTGAATCTGTTAAAAATAAAAGGAAATTGAAATTCATCATCTGAACCTAGAAAATGGGAGAGGCTGAGACAGTAGGGTCATTTGAACCTATGAGTGTGTGTGAGACTAACCTAGGCAACATAGTGAGATCCTGATGAATAAATTCAAGAAAACACCAGGGCAAAACACAGGCCAGAGCGAGGTTACAGGAACCCAGCAAGCGCGGCCAGAAAAAAAGGGGCTCGGGTCTCCACGAGCTGTCTTTAAGAAGCTTCCCTTATGTCACCTTGGCTTTCCTACACCATGCCCTTATGGGCGAGTCCTGGGTCCACCTGGTACCTGTCCCAGGGCGGGGCTAGGGTGTCTCTCTACAAGTTCCTATCTCACAAAGAAAAATAAACAAAAACAAAAAAGAAAGAGAGGGAGCGAGAAAGAGAGAAAGGAAGAGGTTGATACATGAAAAAATTAATGGCAATGATACTTGGTAGGCATACATTATTTTATATTCATATTTATACAGTTGAATGGTTTATGAATTCCTTTTTTAATAAATAGAAATTATGTGACTTTAAAAGTGTGAATTAATCTATCATGAATTAATCTAATCTATTTCTGAAATAGACTATAGTCCAAATCCATGTTAAATGGAATATATTTTTACATTAAAGTGTTGCTCTTTAAACCACAAGGCCAGAAAAACTATCCCATTAATATATGTATTTACTTTACTTTCGCCGTATGTCCTATTTAGATGACACATAACCTAGCAGCCCCAGTTGCCAGTCGTTGAGCTATGCTTTGTAAGGCACTCTGATCTTACAAGTGTAGAATGGGTAGCCCATCGGCAAACTAGGGAATGAGAAAGCATTCATTTAGTGTGGAAAGCAGTTTGGGATTTTTACATGTTTAACTGTGGGAAACATTCTCTACTGAACCTTATAAAAACACAATATAACTGGAACACTTATTTGAAAGACTCTGGGGTGAGGCATAGAAGTACATGACTGCAGTCTCACAATTGAAGGGGTAAAACAGAAGAATGGTGAGTCTGAGGCCAGCCTGGGCAACACAGAGAGAGACCCTGTCTCCAAACAACAAAATAAAGAAATGAGCTAGCATCTTATTTACATGTGCATCGAATGTGAAACATGCTCGTTATAGGCATTAGTCTAGTCCAAGTCTCTTCAGCCTCTAAGAAGGGGTGGTGTCACCCAGTTCCCATGCTTTGGAGTTACTAAGGGAGCGCTAAGGAGAGCACGGTCAGAATCACAATTTTCATTAAGGGTGGGATAAGAAGCCAGAACCAATGGATAAAAGGAAATACTACCCAAGGAGCCCCAGGCTGGGGTGGAGAAGCAGCCTGAGACCCACACCTTTCAGTGAGGGGCTTTTGATAGTGGGCTCCAGTTAGCTCTGAAATTGCTGGTTAGAGCAAACAGCCTGGCCCTCATAGGGGCCTGCTTTCTTATCCAGACTCTCACAAAGGCCCACAGTAGCAACCTTCAGTGCAATAGGAAAGATACTTCTTCATAAGAAATCTAATCAAGCATCCATCCACACAACACACAAACATGGTGTGTAGCAAGCTAGCATTTATAGACTGCCTCATTCAGAATGTTCCAACAAAAAAGATTAAAGGGCCTTTGAAGAGAGAGCATCTTCATTACTACATTTCTCTGGTCTGTGAACTTATTTTCAGTTTTTTTGTCCACAATCAGGTGTGTGGTTCAGGGACCCTACCAGCTTCTCTAAACCTCCCTCCCTCTAACCCATGCAAAGGCCTTTTCTAAATTAAAACTTTTGATGACTAATTTTTCAGTTTTATTTTCAATACCAAGTGTTTGGTGTATTCAAAACCCTAGAACCCAAACTGATAAGAAATACATTCCTCCAGCTCTTTTGCATTCACATCAGAAGTGACTGACCAGTAGAACCACCTTGGGTAGATGCTGCCAATTTGGCCCTGTTCATAGCTGTCAATCACCAGCTATGTGTGCTCTCGACGCCCCCACCCCCCAACCCTTTTCCAAACACCCTCAAACATGGGCATAGGTAATTCTCCAAGCACTTAAATTGATGCAGCTCAGGCTAGCCTTGACCCTACAAATGCCACGTCCCCTTGGCTTATTGTCAAGGTACATGGTCTCATGCATAGATACATGCAAACATGAATGCTAAAAGTTTAAAGAGCCCTAGGCTGCCATTATGCATGACCTTGCCCTCTGTTCTAGGCTCTTTAAGAGAGCCTCTAAAGAAGACAGACATGGAAATGGGTCTGTAAACTGATGGGCTGATGCTGCTGAGAGAGATGGTGAATCCAAGTATCTCACCCACACCCATCGCAGATCCGTCAGCTCAGTGCAGTTATGAGGTTTGTGTTTTTCAGAGTGAATTCTCCCAGATGAAACAGCCTGAAAACAAACCTTCATTCCCCAGTGTTCTGCCTTCTGGGAACACTGACATTTACTTTTGTCTCCAGATTTTAATCTTACATCTGTTCTGAGCAAACAAGGTGTTACTTGTTTTTCCTCGAATTAACTGCAGGATCTTTTCCAAGAAATGTTTGAAAGATACACTGTCCTCCTCTCTCAACTGACTCTAGTTGGAATCCACTGAGCACGATATTATTTAAAGCAATTTTATTCAAGGAAAAGCACAAACACACACACAAAACTATGGCCCCTGGTTAGTTATGTTAGGGAAGACTGAGTTAAATGCTACTAAAGATGTAGGTCTATTTTCTGGGTCACTGTTTACAAAGCAGTTCTATATTATTAGTGGGAAAAGGGAGGCATTCACTTGGTAAAAATATTAAAATTCAATGAAGTCTACATACAAAAGTCTCTTTCCTGCCGCATGTTCTGGTCTCCCACTGGTAAGCCTAAAATAGATTGTTTTATGTCTCATTCTATACATTGTGTACACACATACATAACACACATGCACACATGCACATACGTACTGTGCTAGAGTTAAAAACCTTATGATCTTGGATTGTTAGGCAAAGCTAAAACTGAGTTATTTTTCCTAACTGCTTTTACGCAGTTTGTGTCCCGAGTTATTTAGTCAGTCTGCTCATGTCACATTTCGTAAAATGTTTCCTTATGAATGTGAGCAGGTACCTCACTTGTTTCAATGCTACCGTGGTCCCACTGTGTGGCTAGCTGGTCGCTCAGTCAGTCTCTTACTCAAATTCAAACAGGCCCTCCCCAGCTGTGTGTCAGCCCACACACTTCTAGAGCAGTCTATCTCAAGAACAGATGTCATGCAATGAAGTTTTGAAGTGGCACTCAAGGAGAGGGGCTGTGGTCTTCAGCTGGGCTGTTTTTATAGTTGTGCTCTAAAGGGGGGAATGTCTCTTCAATATGTCTACCAATAGCTCATGATAGCTGCTTCTCTGCTTCTCATGCCTACACCCTATTAAATGGTCATTTAATAGCATGCAGAATAGTGTCAATTGATTGGTTTCTTCTTTCAGTGACTATTTTGTTTTGTTCTTTAATCTCAGCACTCATCAGGGAGAGGCAGGCCTGTGAGTTTGAGGCTAGCCTGGTCTACATAGTAAGTTCTAGGACAGCCATGCCTATGAAGGGAGATCCTGCCTATAAATAAATAAATAAATAAATAAATAAATAAATAAATAAATGCATTTAAAATATATAAAACATTAAACTTGTTCTTGGACAATTTCATACATGTATAAGATGTATTCTGATCATTTGTGTACTCACCCTATCTTGTCATCTACCAGTCTCCTTCTCATGTTCATGTCTTTTTATTCTGTGACCCATTGAGTTTAACCAGAGCCATCTGTGTGACCAGGGGATTGGAGCGGTCCACTGAAGCCTGGTGGGCTCACCGGGGGTACTGCATTACTCCTCGGTTATCTGAATTAATCTTAGATAATTTAAATGTTAGATAAATATTTTATTTTATTTTATTTTTTGGTTTTTTGAGACAGGGTTTCTCTGTGGCTTTGGAGGCTGTCCTGGAACTAGCTTTGTAGTTCTTGTAGACCAGGCTGGTCTCGAACTCACAGACATCCACCTGCCTCTGCCCCCAAGTGCTGGGATTAAAGGCATGCGACACCAATGCCCGGCTTAGATAAATATTTTAATGATGATAATTAATCATGAACTTAAAGTTGTTTTCTGTTTTTGGGTGGCACTAAAGTACTCATCTATCTTTGCAGACAAACATGAGGCTAAATTAAAAGGAGTGATATACTTTCAAGCCATCGAAGAAGTGTATTACGATCACCTCAAGAATGCTAATAAGGTAAATATTAATTTCCTCAGTTTCTACAACTTTTTTTCTTAGGGCCCTTTGTACTCCAGGCAACTTGCTTTATCCTCAGCCCTTTTTCATGTTCTATTTTTTGAGACAGTGTCTCACTACGTTGCCTGGACTGGCTTTGAACCTGCCATGCCTCTATCTCAGCCTCCTGAGCAGCTGGGTTCACAAGCATGCGTACCAAAGCCTGAACAGTTTCTACAGTGTGAAGGTGTAATTAAGTTAGGTTTTTTGGGGATTTTAAGTGATTCAGAGGCTGTCTTCTCACATGATGTTTCTCTCACAAATATGTTCAGAACACTGCTGCAGGTTCAAGTTGAAAATACGTTGGGTAGATGATTGATTTTAGGGATAAAGTCGTAATGAAATAAGGAAAGGTTCTGGATGATACTGATGAGCCACTCTGCAAGCATTTTTGGAAGGAACTACTTAGTATATAGTTAGAAAAGCGAATCATAACTTATCAGGACCATTAAAAAGCCAGGAATAACCACTGTTATTCACTGAGCATCTCCTGTCATGCTTTACCAGCTAGTTAGTGAATCCGTGAGCTCAGCATGAGATTTCTTATAGAAAAGCCCGACAGATGGCCCATCCTGAGGAAGGTGGAAGGGGTGCAGGGGGACATTGTAGTGTAGCATAAAATACCTTTATAAATTTCTGTCAAGGGCAAGTTTTAAAGCCGAAGAACCTTATGTTCAACTTTCCAAGTGTTTCTTTGACATTCTTTTCTCATTTTGAATTCCAGAGCCCTAACCCCCTACTCACATTTAGTGTGAAGACGCATGACAGAATCTATTACATGGTGGCCCCTTCTCCAGAGGCCATGCGGATCTGGATGGATGTGATAGTGACTGGAGCAGAGGGATATACGCACTTCCTGTTGTAACGAACTTCGGCAATGGTCCACTTCAGGGCAGACTGCAATAGTCTCTTGCAAGAATGAAGCCATATCCAGCCTCAGATGGAAAGGCACAATAGACCATCCCTTTAACTGTGTACACTCAGAATTCTTTTCATACTGGGGAAAAAGAAAGCAGGGCTCATAGTGAAAGAACAGGGGCTCGTTTGACAAAAAAAAAAAAAAAAAAAAAAAAAAAAAAAAAAAAAAAAAAAGCAAAACACTATTTTGATAAAAGCATCATTTAGATGTGCATTTCTCATAAACTCTTTTATCAGTTGATGTTGGTTAAATAAACTGAACAGTTTACACAATGTCTGTAAATATGTACTTAGAATGAAATTGTTTTAGCACCCAAATCATTGCCAATGGTAATCAACTGCCTTCTTTGTAGGAAGTAGCATTTTATAAAAATAAGCAAATAATGACATAGAAGGCAACAGATTTTTGACATTTTGCCTTAGTTTTTAAATACTGCCCGAAAACCAAAGACATGGCTGGACTCCTCTTCAACATCAGTGTTACTCTCTAACTACACTTTAAAATGGTATTTTGATGCCAACCCTGTAGTGTCCCTCAAAGAAGCTACTATGCATAGATCATAAACCACTTTCTTAAAAGAATTAAAAAATAAAAAAGCTTCTGTTTTAAGAAAAGGCCATTTCAGACAACAGAAACCTGTGACATCAGGTAGTTTTTAGTAAGGGGAATATTTAGTGGGAGGAGCCTGTTCTGTTGAAGATTTGCCCATTCCTGGTGCTGAGAATAAAAGCAACCAGTAGCCAGTTTCCTCCCGACTGCCCAGTTCCTCCTGCTTATGGGCAAGGCTTTTACCTGTGCCCTCCCGTGGATAACTATGTAACCATCACTGTTTTGCTGACAAACAGAACAATTAAAATATCTTGTTTTTTGGAGACAACCAAAATTCAAGTTAACAAACTCTATGCTATATCTTTTTACATATATCTTTACAAATAGCCTTGTTTTTAGAGATAATTTTTGTTGAATGAAATGACTTCAGGCAAGTCTCTTTTATAATCATTTCCCAAGTGCCATTTATTTTAGTTTTTGTGTTTTGTGTTTGTAAGTATGAATGAACTCTTTCCTAAAACATGCCAAATGGATAGAAGTAGAAAATAATGACATTACTTACTCGTACACATGAAATGATTAGAAATGTCCATAAAACTTTGTCAGGCCTTACTGGGTACATTTTTTTTAAAACTTACAGTGTACTTTTATACCTATGTACGTGTTACCAATAATAAGATTTTTGCAACTGGATGATGCAAGATTTTACTTGAATAATGAGGGACAAATATCATGACTGTAGGAGGTATTTTTCATCTGTGATTTTTGCATCAGTCCCCCTTCAACTCTAGTGATCTAAAACATTAAAATGCAATTGCGAAGATTTGGTTGGTTGATGTAAAGACACAACTTTTCTGTACTGTACTTTCTCCATAGGATTGTAAGGGTGTTCTAATCAATTTGCATGTCTGAACCTTTTAGATATATGTGTGTTAAATGTATTGAGTTTGGATTAAAATGTTGACCTGATTTCACATTTGAAAGTAAACTCTTTCTTTCACTTTGCAATCACCTATCTGTACCATAACAGAGGATGAGTTAATCACAAAATTTGACAGTAGAATCTACATAAAGTTTGATATGTGCTGACATTATGATTAGAAATTCATAAACTAAAATAATTGGAAGCCTCTCTGGCCACATTTCTATTACTGACAAAATGAGGTAAACAACAAAAAATGTTACATATTATTCTTATCCTTTTGTATTGATTAGCCATTACTTCCCTTAAGGGTATAATGCAAATGTGAAGGAAAGCTCTGAGGCTCCACTTCGTGGGGACCTCTTTCTTCCTGAGGTTAAAGAGAGAAGCTGCCTTCAAAACAAAACAAAGCAAAACAAAAACAAAAATGTCCTTTTACTTTTGTATGCTGATGGAAGGAATAATGACCAAAAAAACCCAAACTGCTTTACTTTAAGCCTATTACTGTCAGGGAAGGTTTTTTGACAGTGCCACAAAGCCACTTAGCTTCCTGATTTGTTTTGCTGGTAAGAGTGCATGCATTGAGAAAGCACTCCATGGGTTTTCCCCCTTCTATATATATGTACAGTCCTTTTTTCATTAGGATAATTTACATGATTTTTGAAATTCTGCTACATATAAAGTACAAGGAGACACTGAAAATAGAGTAGAAGAAACCGATGGGGCTAACAATATCAAGGATAAGTTTTGCTGTAAGATACAAGAGGTAGCATTCATTGGACATCACTGCCTTTGTGATTCGGTCCTTTGATGACTACATCTGTTCTGGTCCTCTCTCTGAAAGGTCCTATATCCAAAGTGTCAAAATAGGTCTGTGAAAACTTCGGCTTTGACCCTGGCCACGGATCATGCCAATGACTTGAGACACAGTGACAGGAAAACAGAGTTTTATTGACACCAAACCGGCAGGTGGAAGCAGAAGAGCTTCCATTCAGAGTCCATGGGACTTGTGGGGTCTCACGTTAGCATATCCAGGTGGCACCTGCCTACTTCACATAGTACTGAGCTCTCCTGAAGTTCCAATGCTGTTCACAGTCACCAGGAGTTCCTCTAATCTAAAAAGGGAATGTACAGCTATGATCTGTTCCTTAATGTTTTCTCATATTTCCAGGCAAAGATGACTTTAATTAGTTAATTTAGGAATGGGACATAGAAAAACGAGACAAAACCAAAATGATTTTTAAAAAATAAATAAATAAATAAGATCTATTTCGTTTTTCTCCACCAAGCTTCTCCGGTATGTTCTAACAGATCATTTTCTCAAGACTCCAAAGACAGGCCTGGCTTTGCTTTTAACTCTGGTACTTCTCCCAAATCTTTCAAGGGATGGTGTCCAAGTTTGCATCTGTCATTGCGATGCATGGCATGACCAAAGGCAACTTAAGGGAGAAGAGGGTTTATTTAGCTTACAGGTCACTGTTCATCACTGAGGAAAGCCAAGGCAGGAATTCACGGTAGTGGCTTGAAGCAGAGACCACCAAGGAATATTGCTTACTAGCATGCTTCCAGGCTCACAGTCAGCTACTTTTCTTATACAGCCCAGACCCACCCATCCACCTTCATATACTGCTCCTGGTGGGCTAGGCCCTTCTACATTAGTCAGCAATTAAGAAGATGCCCGACAGAAGTGCCTACAGGCCAGTAGGATGGGTGTGGGCATTTGTCAGTTGAGGTTCCCTATTCCCAGATACCCAAAGCTGACCAAACCAACCAAGACAAATAGTAACACGGTTTTACCTAAAGTATTGCACTAAGTACAATAATTTCAACCAGAATACACAAGATAAGGCATATACTGAGTGATACTTGATCTCCCCTACCATTACTTTGAAGGATGTCAGAATTTAGAGACCCTATTATCACAATTTATTTAATTATTTTTTCTATAGCCATTGATTGTTCCCCACCTTTTTTCATCTTAAAAAAAAAAAAATGTTGCTGTCATAGGTAATACACGACCTTAGGAACTCGTGTTTTTATGTAGCATAGTCAAAGGGGGGGGGACGGTAGTTCAAAGAGTACCGAAAATTATGCGCATTGTAATAAACATGAACAGATTGCCTGACAAAAGACTTTAGATTGTCACTCACCTAGCAACCAATGTGTTTCTAGTATCTTTGCTTATGGGTGCTCGTTTGAATTTTTGGCAATCTGGTGAGTGGGAAAATGTTTGGGGGAGAGCAAGAAATGCTGGTGTTACTTCAATGATGTGAATTTATGATAAGGTTGCCTCTTGGAAACCTTTCCCGCATAGGCTGAAACGGAGCGTTGGGCACTGGTAATGCCAGAAGCCTAGCAATTTTTGTCACAGGTCTTTGGGTCCTCCGGATGACAACATGGTTTCCCTTCTGTGAAGGTTCAGTTTGGCCCTGGCTCCTCGCCGAGATTTCCGCAGCTTACAGTGAAGAAAGCAGGCCAAGGCCGCCCCAATGTCGCATGCCAAATACCCTTCGGGGAGACGGAACGGCCTGGCAGACAAAGTGGCACAGTACTCACCACCCTGCGCATGCGTCTCCGCGCAAGCCGCAACTCCCACGTGACGCAGCTTAGCAACCTCCGCCTCCCCGCGGGCTGCGCGCGCGTGACCTCGGGACCCGGTGACCCGCGCACGTCCGTGGCGGGCGCCGGGGCAGCTGGGAAGATGGCG